CCATTGTTAGAATGAGCTGGACTCGGCACATAGCTGCATCGGGTATGCAAATGCAAAAGATTGTCCGAGAATAAATGGCCAAATAAAAGAAAAATGTTGATCGAAAGCAAAACAACGAAACGAAAATTGCCCTAATGGAAAATTTCCCGAAATCATAATTTCTCTAAGAACATTTTAGCGAACCAAAAATTTGCCCGAAAAATACAATAATTATCATTGTCAGGCCATTGGCATTGTCATCCATGCCAATTTTTGCAAAATTTTATTTATTGTGCCTATCATCATCCAGCATAAACACGTAGAATGGAAGTCGAATTTGTTATCATTGAACAGGGAAAACAGAAACTGTTAGGTACTCCACAGTTATTTGTATAAAAAAACGAATGAAGAAACATGTTTTGTTTTTGTTTAGTTCGGTTTTTATTAAATGGACCATGAGTTTAAATGCCCTGTATTAATGCCCTCAATTAACTAAATAATTACTAAAAATATATTAGTTAAAAAAATGCATTTTTGTATAAAAAAAAATATTATTAAAATAAGCTAGATAAGAGTATTTTAAATGATTATTGTCTTTGCTTCTGGAATGAAAATTGTCTTTGTTTTCAGTTGATTTAATCCAACGCGAATAAAAATATTAAAAAATATTTGTTTCGGATTTTTTGGCGATTTTCAGATTTTTTCTTGTATGTATGTATTATATTTTCTTGTAAGTATTCCATAATGTGAATATTGTATAATTTTTTTTCTTATTAACAACACTTTACCGTCATTTTTAAATTTATTTTACATGGGCGTATATATACTATTCGTTCGGAAATAAATTTATTATTATTATAACAAAAATGCCTGTCTCTATTAAACAACTAAAAATAAATTATTTATTAGAATTTACGCTCAATTTATCTTCAGAACGTTTCCTCAATGTCTCCGTTTAAGTGTTAATACAAAAACACTATTAAAAATTTAAAGACTTTACATTTATTGGCCAAATAAAGTAAGTGATTTTCTTTAAATTGCTCTCCTGAAAAGTAGCAAAAATCGAGATATGCCTTTTCGTCATAAAGCCGACGATATATTCTAAAATCGATAACATATCCTCTATATTTTCGATAATTTCTCTTAGGATGCTAGTTTCTCGAAAAACAAAATTTGATTTACTTGATATGGGCATATTTGTGAGTAGAGCTAACAGAGATAAACAAAATGAACTTAACTCTTTTTTCTTACATTGGTTGATACATAGAGTTTATACATTATATATAGGTACATTAGATCATTACATCTTATCTATTTGACCACCACCCCCGCACTCCCTTATTTGTTAACTTTTTGAAAAATATTATTAAGAATATAAATATGCTCCCTTTGTACTAGTTTATATATTTTTGAAGTTAATTTGATCACACTAGAAAATAATTAGTACTGCCCTATAAAGGGATAATGTAGTTCTATCTAAAGAAAGGAACCTTTGGTCAAGTGATACTATAGCGAAAACAACAGCTGAAAAACTTGTACATTCACACAAGACTCCAGATAAAAATGAACGGAAACTCTCAAATTCTTATTTTTTATTAGTCTGAGGATAAAGTACGACAGGGAAGGAAAATTAGAAGAAAATAATATCGCATTTTTATTTTTTTCAATTTAAGAAACAGATTGTTTGTGATCACCTTCCATAAAATTAGTTTACGTTCAAGAATGTATAGACGTGCGTATGATTTGATCATAGCTTTATAAAAAATTAAAAGAAATTTTCTTCAAAATGCGGTGTCGGAGAACAAACATTTTGTTCCTTATTTCTATCATTTATTTGAGTTTCTACTATGTAATTCAAATAAAGTTTCAGTTTTTGTGGTTTACTAATTTTATTGATTCATATTAATTATTAATATCCTTTACTGTTTTAAAATGTTAAAGAAGCACAAAATTTATTTAGTTCAGTGCTACGGAAAATGTAATTACACATTTTAATATAAATTGTAATTTTACGCTTCTTTAACTAAAATAGCAGAAACAGAGAAAAGCAATGATGTTAATCAAAATTAATACATATGATTAATAAACTAATTAATGAAGAATGATTTGGAGAAAATGTAATAAAAGTTTTCGCAAATATGCAAACTAGAAGAATCGATCTTAATTTAAAAATTTAAAATCTAATAGATACGTTCACACCTTTGTTTGTTTTACCTAATTTTATTGATTCATATTTATTGAAAATATATGCTCAGATTCTCAGATGCAAAAACCGCAACGCAAAATTTGTTCAAATTTAAAGTGTTATATTTTTTTTACTTTTAGCCCTATTTTCATGATTTTTTTTAGCAAACTGTATATAAATCTATCAATTTTAATTCATAAACTATGTTTTTTATAAATTTCAGTATTTAGCTTATTATACAGGGTTAATTGAAGGGTTGTTTTTTACCTAAACTTTAGAACATCCTGTGTAATAATTTCGTGAGTAACTTTTCCTAAATTATTATATATTTTGATCAGAACCATAGAAGAACCATTAGCATTTTTTTTTATCTCCTGTACTTTTTTGTAAAACATACTAATTGAAAATGAAAAGCAAAAAATAAGTCGTTAAAAAATAATGAACATGCTAACAGTTTTGACATAATTTTAAATTACTACTGATACATAAGATTGATGTTTTCAATAAAAACTGTAATTTTCCAATAACAATAAGAAAGGTACCTATTAAGCATTCTTGCGGATATTAAATAATAGTAATCTTATTTCAAGCTAACAGAGAGCAACACTTTCCTTAATATGGACATTAGGCTGGCTATCTTAAAATCTAATTTAGTTTTTAATGAATTATTATTTTTTATTCGAATATCGACTGCCTGCATTATAAACAGTATAGGAATAGTAATATACAGTAAGAGTATTAGTAAAAATATAAAAGCATTTATAATATTCGTTTCAGTGAGTTTATAAAAAACACTGTAACTAATGTTTTTAGTGGTTACAATAAAACATCGCATATATACTGTTTGTAGAAAGTATTTTGAAAATTTGAATGAAATGAAAGGAATTTTTTTCAATAAGGTAATTTATTTTATTTATTTATTATCTACAGTATGTCCCCAGATTGGCACTATAAGAAGAAAAACGTTTTATTGACATTTTGAGGAAAATTTATTTTTCATAAAAATTTTTACTTGTTCTAAAATGTTAATTTCGTATATACTTTTCCAAATTTCCATACCCCTTTAGAGAAATTAAAAAAAAAATCCTAAAGTTCTAAAAATTAAAATGCGTTTTTTTGTAGAATGTAAAATGTTTAGGAGGGGAGTTAATCACCGTGACCTTACATATCTATTGTGTGTTCCCTTTTCTTGAGTTATAACGAGTTATAACTCATCATACAGTCTCAGGGCTTTAACAAAAGCCAGTATCTGAGACGGCTCCACAGAGGTCAGCTCTCCATCCTCGACATCAGCCGTACCAAAGTTCATGGCACGAATGGTCGTCTCGGCGCACTCAGTGATAAGGTATTCTGGTGTTTCACCATTTTTCCCACAGAATCTGCATTCGCCGTTGTTTCTCAGCTTCAGCCTACTGAGGTGTTCGTTGAGGAGACAGTGTTCTGTTAGAAACCCCGTGACAATCCGAAGATTGTTTTTACTTAAATCAAGGAAAACCTTTGATTTTTCTCGGTCGTAAGTTCTGAGGAACTTTTTCGAGTGTCTTAGACCGTTGGAGGATACCGATTGCAGATTACGGATGGAGTCTTCCAGATTCTTCAGTTCCGCTTTCAGTTAGTTCCCGCTTAGAAAACAGACGGTTCTGGTCCAGTTAGTGGAGTGTTTGCTCCTTTTCTAGCTAGATCATTTGCTTTTTCATTGCCTTCTATCCCTTGGTGAGCAGGCCCCAGAGTAGGGACTTTATTTTCTTTGCCTAATTTGTTGAGCTTCTCTAGGCATTCTTTGACCAATTACGAATTGAATTGATTTGGTCTAAATACTCCTATCCCTGTCTCTGCTTTGGTTTTGGAAGCATCAGTATACCCCGTTATGGTATGGTCTTTTACAAGCTGAGCAAGCGTTTTTTCCTTCCAATCATTTTTATTACTCAATACTATAGTGAAGTCAGTGAAGTGTTTCTCAAAGTTGTAAATTCTTTGTATGTCATCCACTAAGAGTTGGATTCTTTGATAGAAAGCTGGAAAGAATTTTAATTAACGTCATATCTTTTGCTGTTTTAAAATGTTAAAGAAGCACAAACTTTATTTAGTTCAGTGCTACGGAAAACGTAATTATACATTTTAATATAAATTGTAATTTTGCACTTCTTTAACTAAAATAGCAGGAAATAGCAATGATGTTAATCAAAATTAATACATATGATTAATACAAATCATAGATATTACTAAACAAACTAATTAATGGAGAACCATTTAAAGAAAATGTAATAAAAGTTTTCGCAAATATGCAAACTAGAAGAATTGATCTTAAGTTTAAAATTTAAAATCTAACAGATACGTTCACAGCTTTGTTTTTTTACCTAAATTTAGTTTTTTTTAAATTGGTTTGATTTTTTTTACCTGTTACATTTTTGTATTTTTATTTTTGTAACTTAACCTGTAAAAAAAATTAAAAAAACTTTATTGTGTTGGTAAAATGTCAATTGCAGTTACTTATTACATCCCGTTGTATTGACTCCAAACTACGCCGCTGCTAGAGATCAAAAGAAGCAATAGATGTGACAAGGTCCCAGTGGAACAGACCCATAACCACCTCAAAAATTTAAAAAAATTTTGCTTGATAAAAGTTTGAAAAGAAAAGTTATCGCATCGAAAAGAGAAAGAAAGCAAGAAAGACTGACCACCGAGGCTCTCCGGACAGTAGACGGCTTTTTTCCTGCGATGGTCGAAGAGAATAAATTAATCTTCTAGTTCGTTTTCACCGGGCGGTACCGCAAATAATTCGTTTGCGTTTAACCGTAGGGATTATTCACGGCGGTTTTTTCGCACCGGAATTATATAAAAGAAAGCAGGTAGCGGCCTAGCCGATCAATACATATCGATTAGCCGTTACAGTGCCTGCCGCAGATCAATTCCCACATCATGACGTACCTCGTAAGTACCAGTGAGACACGCAGTGATACACGAAAGTGAAGTGATTATCTAAAGGGTTCAGAGCTAGATCCCGGTCTTGAAACTTGAAATTAATTCCCGGTACTTTGGAGACTCGGTAACAATAATTGAACAACCATTTTTTGTTGCGTGCGAAAGTCCTGTAAAATATCACAGGACTAATCACTAACGGTTGCAGTCAAACTCTTCTAAATAAGTATTCATGATATTTCTTATCTATACTAATCGACATATATAAAATGCTAATGTTTATCTGTGTCGTCTCTACTGAAGTAACGACTTACTGTAGAAATTTGCTTTTTTTACTAAAAGATAGCTAATTGGCTCTTCTAAAAACTGTCGTCGCCGGATTTTTTGTTTTTCATTTAATTAAAAAAAATTAAAAAGGATTTTTGTGATGTCGTGGCGGATGCGCCAGGCTTCAACTAGTCTATACTAATATATAAAATCCTTAAGTGACTGACATACTGATTAATCACGATCCTGCTCAAACCACTCAACGTAAGAAGCTCAATTTTGGCATACATCACAACCAAACCACCCCTCAAATATTACAATATTTTTTATTTAAAAAACAGTCAAGTTTCAGAAAAAACGCTTAAACACGTATATTTTATTTTGTTTTTTTACATATTTTAAGATTTTTTAAAAATGTATACAGGGTGTTTTGAAAAATATGGTCATTGATTAACCACGATCCTGCTTAAAGCGCTTGACGTACAAAGCTGATTTTTGGAAAACGGATTGACTTTAGGGTATAGAGATTCGATAAGAAGGGATTTTTCGAAACTCGAATTGAACTGAAATGAGGGGTGAAACCCGTGAAACCACTCCTCAAATATTAGAATATTTTTTTATTTAAAAAGCAGTGAGTTTCTCGGAAAAACTCTTAAACACGTATATTTTATTTTGTTGTTTTACATATTTTAAGATTTTTTAAAAATTTATACAGACTGTTTCATAAAATACGACCAATGAGTAATCACGATTCTGCTTAAATTGCTTGACGTTTAAAGCTGATTTTTGGCAAACAGATTGACTGTAGGGTGTAGAGGTTCGATAAGGAGGGGTTTCTCGAATCTCAAATTCCAAGAGGGTGAAAATGCCCCTCAAATATTTCAATATTTGTTATTTAAAAAACGGTTAGTCTTTGTCTTTTGTGAAAACGCTTGGACCCGCATAGTTTATTTTGTTTTTTTTTACATAATTTGAATTTTTTTAAAAAATCATACAGAGTGGTCCAAAAAGTTGGGTAATTGATTAACCACGATTCTGCTTAAACTGCTTGACGTAAAAAGCTTATTTTTGGCAAACGAATTTATCGAAAGTCAAATTCCAACGAGATGAAACTACCTCTCAAATATTACCAAGTTATATAATAATATCGCCATATTGTTTTTTTTTCATGCTAACATAAATGTGAGAAAATTTTATCCAGTTTATATATTAATGGAAATTCTTGCTTTGCTTTATCATCACCATTACAAATGATTAATTCGACGCGAACGAAGTCGCGGGTATACGCTAGTTGTTCATACTTCTTTTCTTTTTTGAAATGTAAATACGTTATTTTTTTATTTGGTATAATGTTATCAAATGTATTAGTTATATTTTTCATTATGTTTTTCAAAGACATTTGCATTTTTAATTAAAAAATGTAAGGCTTTTTTTTCTCGTTTTTTTTTCAAATTTACTTAATTTGGTTTATGTTGTTTTTATTTGATAATTGACGACTGTCATTTATTGACTGATGACTGATAATTAATGGCTGTACCATCTTTGAACAATAATTAGCTAATACCGAAAGTACCGAGAAAATAGGGAAATCCCGGTTCCTTAAAGGCGTGGTCCAAAAATTCTCCATTCCGAAGAGTTCTCAAATTTCGAACAAATTTGAGAATTTGAAAGATAAAAAGTTAATTATTAATTTAGAGACATTTTATTTTAGTAACTGTATTATCATCATTATCATCATTTTCAGCTTATTCAATCATTTCCAATTATGATGTAGCCTCCGTTACATATTTAGATACTCTCTTTGTAATTGGGCCTATTGGTTGTCTATTGTTGGCTACGCGGGCCCAAGTTATCCCTGCCAATTTTCTAATGCATTGCTCCCATCTCAGACTCGGTCTTCCTCTAGGTCTTTTAATTCGTGGGTATGTAATACTGTAATTTTTGTGGTCTATCTGTTCTCCATCCTTGCTAGGTATCCTACCCATTGCCACTTGAAGGATTTGATTCTGATGATGACATCTATTACCTGGGTCTTTTGTCGTATCCACTCTATTCTTTTACGATTTTTCTTGGTTGTTTATTATTTCCAGCATATTTCGTTCCATCGAGTGTCGTGCGTACGGCAGTTTCTTTATAATGTCCGTTTTAAGTATACATGTTTCGCATGCACACTAGATATTATTATAATATATATTTCGAGTTACATTTTACTACCTTACAATAACATTTAAGGTATCTGTGCTAAATGTCTAAAATAATTGAGGCGTCAAGTTGCAAAACCCGTCTTATCCCACAAACGTTGTTTAGAGATAATAAGCAAAAACTGTTTTAGCAAATGTTTGAAGCCTTCATTTACAGAAAACATATCCATTGAGTGGAATCATTGTTTTGTATCTCGTTTTTCTAGAAATAAAAATTAATATTTAATTTTTAAACAGAAAAGAACACAAAAATAATTCGGATAAGGCGGGTTTAGTTGCAGTATGATGCATATTATTAACTATGAAATGAAGAACGCTGTCATTTTATATGTACATTTTTATGGGAAATATCATCGATCGTCATTTCCTAGCCAACTGGACGTCTTTTTTTTCGATCATACGGTATTTCCATCCTAATTTGATTTATCAAATATACTATTTTATTAAAATTTAAGGATTTGAAAAGACGTCAGTAGTAATGACTTATGTAAAAAACTTATGAAAAAATGCGGGATTTGTAACAATAATGACAATAAAAAGGAAATAAAAGTGGATAAGACGAATTTTGCTGTAGTAACGTAATTTGTAGTAAATTTTAATATAGGCGAACTAGACGACTTTTACTGTCATTTAAAGAAGGCGTCCATTCTTCTCAAAGAGACCTGTTTTAAATTAAAAAGAAATTAAACATTGAGACCAAGACTTTGAGTCTTTTTTATACTTCTTTTTGACTTTTACTGCAGTTTGGAATTATGTTTATGTAGATTTCAGGATCCCACTATTAATATACCGGGTGCGTCTCAAAAGTGGCCCACTCCTATAACTTTTTTATTTTTTTTAGTTAAAAAAACGAAATTTGGTATGTTAGTATATGACATAAATTAGGATTGATTGACGTATTTAATTGTTTTTGGTCACTTCCGGTTTCACCGGAAATGACTACAACTTTTGATTTTTAAATGGCACCCTCGGTATTTTTTTACTTCATTCGATAGAAAATGTCACTCTGAATAGAATGACACATCATATGTCAACTTTTGATATTTTCGCATATGGTTTATTTGAAATTATAACTTGCGGTTCGTAACAAAAATTTGACTTTAAATACCAAGTGTATGGTATCAAATTATTCGTAAAAAATGCTTTTTCCAAATATGTTAATAAGCCACCCTCGTTTCATTTGAAAAAATTAAGTTATGATTAAAAATACGATTTGAGAATTTTCTAACTGGTCAGGACAAGACACTAAAAACATTAGACGATCAAATCTATTTTTCCAAGGCTCCTTGATGAAGAATTAGTGTTTTTAACATAGCCATGGCACTCTAGATTGAATTTTAAAATACAATTTTTTATTAAGCGAGAATGTCAAAAGTTGACATATGATATGTCATTCTATTCAGAATGTCATTTTCTATCGAATAAGGTAAAAAAATACCGAGGGTGTCATTTAAAAATCAAAATTTGTAGTTGTTTCCGGTGAAACAGAAAGTGACCAAAAACAATTGAATACACCAATCAATCCTAATTTACGTCATATACTAACATACCAAATCTCGTTTTTTTATCTGAAAAAATCAAAAAGCTATAGGGGTGAGCCACTTTTGAGACGCACCCGGTATATCATTAGTGATGTCGTTTTGTAACTTATATTTTATAACTCAATTATTCATTCATCGATGTTTTGGTTCATTAATTTCATAATATTTAAAAAAATCTATCAAATATCTTAAAAAATACGTTTTATAATATGCCAAATATGCACTTTGCATATTTGGGTTTCCCTAATTATCAGAATTGGCATGGGTGTAAATAAAAAAATTCACTAAAAATGCACCATTTCTTCTGGGTTGTGAACTTATTAGTTCTAATGGCTGATTTCGGCTATTGAGTAATCTAGACCACCCAATTTTTACGTCTGTTTATTTTTGGTGTTATTTCTTTAATCAGGCGTTGTAGAAATATCTATATTATAATAATTCCGAAATAACTTAACCACAAGGACGGGAAATATACAAATAAATGTTGCAAAAATAGGCTAACCGGAACAAGGATAGGAGAAAATAATATTATTTGTTTATATTAGGTTTGTCTTTTATTGTAGATTTTTTTGCTTAACTCGTCACTTTGTGGGCGTGAATGATGCACTTGCTTTTGGTCCCAGTCAACAGACCTATGAAATAGTGTTTATGATTTATGGAATATCATTATTATTGAAAAATCATGTTATTATTATTGTCTGTTGGCTGATGGGCTTTTACACTAGCAGATATGGTTTTAAGTCCAGAAGTTGTATCCGCTATAGTTGCTTTAATTGAAGATGATAGAGATAAAAATTATGTCCCTAATAGATTTACATGTGCACGAAGTACAATGCAGTCACTTCCTCAAGACAAGTTCATATGCTAGACGTCCAGGAACCTTCGTATGAGAACTTTGAATCGATACAATCGATTTATTGTGTTAGCTAAGAAATCGCCGTTTGCCAGCTTTTCAAATTTGTGAATTGCACCTAAGGAACGTTACATGTAAGTGAACAGACTGTAGGAAGAAGATTTTTGCTTCGTTTAGCAAATCTTATGTCAAGAAGTAGAAGGCCTTGGACCTGGGACCACAATTTACTAGGACTAGGACCAAAAGCAAAGGCATAGTTTTAATGTAAAAATTACGAAAATATTTTAGTGTTTTCTTCAAAAGCCAATATCTCCATCAAAAATAAAACTATTGAGATGAACCAAAAAATAATCTATCGAGAAAGGATGTACTCAGGTGATAAAGTGATTTTTAAATTACTCGCTGTCTTACCATATCCCACAGGGTGTTTCAAACTTTTACCAAAATATCAACATTTTGTTTGCCCTCGTATATTAACAGAGGGTAACTTTCATTTTTAATTTAGAAAGAAATACTAAAAAGTCAAATAATTTAGCTACATATTGCTTAGAAAAATCATCAAAATCGGCTCATTAGAACAAAGTATATTCAACTTTAAAATACATCAAAATTTTAAGGTGCCCTTTTTTCATACCGGTGAGTGTATTGTATATACTATAAATTCTTTTAGATATTTTTTTAGTTTAGGATACTAGAGAAATAATTGAACTGATCCTCTTAGAAATATCAATTAGTTGTAATTAACAAAATATCAACAAAAGGCGTGTCATTTCAGTATTTTTAATCAGTCACAGTCTCGCGGAAAATTTGCTATAAAAATGGTATTTAAAAACCAACAAGCAATCAGACTCCCAATTAGCACATTGATGCAACCGTGATTTTGTAAATATAAGGTAATTTTTATTTAACCGTTTCAGATTACGAGAGTGAAATACTATGTATTTTTTAATTTTTTATAACCACAGACACCGCAATGAAGAAAATTGCCACTACTTACAACATTCTTTGATTCTAACAGGATATTTTTGTTTTCTAACTCTTGTATAATATTGAAATTAGTTTGATGTTGCTCTCTTGGGTCTTGGGTCTTAAGTGGGATTTATAATGTATCAATTTAATCTACAGGGTGTCTCATTTATGTTTGTTTTCCAGGATTTCTCCATTATGAGCAGAGGTAGAAAGATGCGGTTTTCACATCACTTTGCTACTACTGTTTTATTAAGCCAAAGATGCTACACGCAGATTATTATTATTATTCCTTCTGAGTTCCTGAAATATAGGGCGAATTTTGAAAATGTTGTGTTTTTTGACCCCCTTTGTACCTTGGTTATCTTATAACTTATCGAAAAGGTGAAAACTGAGTCCCGTAGACTTTTTCACACGTAGAATCCAGTGGATAACTAGTATCCACTGGTTAAACTAGTTTTCCGCTGGGAGATTTCATTCTTGAAATACCAACCCAAACAACAATACCAAACTTAAGCTTCTTTAAATGGAATAAGTTGTAGCGGGTGGACTTGATTTTTTAAACAGCACATATCTAAGTTATTTGACTTTTTAGTGTCTCTTTCGTTTCGGTAAAAGTTTTTTTGAACATCCTGTGGAATATATATATATAATACAGCATGGAATTTAAAAATAATTTTATTATCTTTTAACATCTAGGTATATCCTTTTTCGATAGTTTGTTTTTTGATCCATCTCAATAGCTTTATTTTTGTTGGAGATATTCGCTTTTAGGAAGACATTAACATTTTTTCGTATTTTTTACATTAAAACCATGCCTTTGCTTTTAGTCATATTCAACAGACCTAGTACGTTGTTGTGGTTCCGAAGAAGGCCTTCTTGACATAAGATTCGTGAATTACTTCGTTTAATCTTCTTAAATTCCGTTCACTTACATGTACGTTCCATAGCTGCAATTTATTATAAATTTGAAAAGCTGACAAACGGCGGTTTCTTAGCGATAAACTTACAATAAGTCGATCGTCTCGATTCGAAGTTCTCATACGAAGATTCCTGAACGTCTAGCATATGAACTCCTCTCGGGGAAGCTGTACTGTACTTCGTGCACTCCTAAATCTGTTAGCGACATAACTTTCATGTCTATAATCTGCAGTTAAATCAGCTATAGCAGATACAGCTTCTGGATTAAAACCATCTCTTCTAAAGTAACTGTTCAACAGCCAATAGTCAATAATAATACGATTTTTCAATAACAGTGGTATTACATAAATCATAAACACTAGTCCATCGGTCTGGTGACTGGGGCCAAAAGTAAAGGCGTGGTTTTAATGTAAAAATTACGAAAAAATGTGTCTTCTTCAAAAGCGAATATCTCCAAAAAATAAAGCATTGGGATGAACTAAAAAATAAACTATCAAAAAAAAATGTACCTAGATGATAAAATGATTTTCAAAGTCCAACAACTTTCCAATCCAAACTTTCAACATTTTGTGTTCCCTCGTATAATTGACAGATGGGAACTTTTATTTTGAATTTAGAAAGCGATACTAAAAAGTCAAATAATTTAGCTACAAATTGCTTCCAAGACCATCAAAATCGGTTCACTAGAACAATATATTAAACTTCAAAATACATCAAAATTTTAAGGTGCCTGTTTTTCGTGCCGGTGAGTATAATAATTATCTAAAAATTAATTTATTTTTTTAGAGTATTCCTTTACTATTCCTCTTCATACCTTTTCTATGTGCCACATCACCTCCTACAGGAACAGCAAGGCCCAATTTTAATGATCATCAGAAATTCCCAATTCAAGTTTTAACAAAACCATTAGAAGCACAAACAGCTGCTTCATCTTCGGGACCACAAAAAGTCCAAAGTCCTTTTCCAATTCAGACCGATTTAGATTTTAAGTCGTTTCAACAGGTAAGCCAAATTTTTTGTTTATTTTATTATTTTTTTCCATAGCAACTGTTAAAATTGCCATATATCTATCAAAAATGATCGAATAAAAACGGCGTCAACGATGGCTATGAAATGACGATAGCTGTCATTTTATATATAAAATTATATGGAAAATGTCGCCATTTCATAGCCATCGCTGACGCCGTTTTTATTCGATCATACGGTACTTTAACCACAAGAGTAGATTAAATGATATTTTAACAGCGAGGATATGTTAAAAACTTTATTTCTTCTCGCACGTTTTTTAATTGCTTCCATTTTTTAAAAATTTTGTATTCCTTTTCATAAGTTATTCGGGATTTAAATGGATGTAGTTTGGATATGGCATTTGTCGCCTCAGCCTGAATATATATTGGTAATTTACTTATTTCGTTTTGAGCCATTTCTGGCTCCAATTCAATCAGCAATCGACACGAAAGAGAATTAGAAAATATTGACTCAAAACTGACAACTAAAGAGACAGCTTTATTTATTTGTCAAATAACATAGAAACCAACGCCAACCCAGCACAATATTTTGAAATAATAATTTCTGAATATTTTTTAAAACGTAACTCGCTATGGAAAGAAATATTGTTTCATACACGACGATAAAATTGCATTATCGTCTCCCGAAATTAATTCACTAGCGATTTCATTGCTCGTGAATTAATCTTTTCCCGGTCGACGATAAAATACTATTTTATCGTCTTGTATAAAAAATAACTATGAAATTAATATTCTCACAGGTTTCGCCAAAAGACAGTCAACCAAAAGCTGCTGGGTTTCCCCCGCAGGTGATCAACTTCAAACCCGCAGTAAGTACAGTAGATTTTAACGACTACTTTAAATATTTGCTTCAAGCTACTGACGCGAGCACCGAAGCTAGTTTGCATCAAAATCGGCTAGTACCAACCCTGCAAGCACCCGTAGCGCATTCGGCTTTGATATCTGCCACATCCTTTATACCACAGTATTTAGCTCAATCCGAAATAGTAAGTTTTAAGGTGGTAATTGGCTTGAGCCGAGCGCTGTAATGTATCGCTTGTTCGCTGTTCGCGACGAAAGTTTTGTTCGGAGTCGATACGCGAAAATACATCTATTGTTATATGGGTTTCTCGGAGATGCGAGTGGTCAACAATAGGTACCCAGTACTTGTTCAAACTATTGATGGAATCCGGACAGTTGCCGAACATATACTGACTTGTAAAGTAACAATCATAGAGATTCGCTAAAAAAACGACAGTCGACTCGTCCAGTGGAGCACCGTTGTTGTTCGCGAGCCGCTAGGTTTGCCGATTATTTTCCGGTATTGATTATAGCGAATGCTCGTGTTACATTACATTACAGCGCTAGATTCAAGTCAATCTCCGCCTTTAGAGTAGAGAATAAAGATAATTCACTGATCAAACCCTGTATAATAAATAATCTATTATACAGGGTGGTTCGAATTGTAATCAGGAAACTTCGGCAACACATCCTGTAGATAAAAAAAAGTAACAAAGTTTGTATAAATATATGCCCTAAAATGCTTTGTTTATACAGGGTATAGAAGTGAGAACTTCTGAACTAACGTCGATATTTGGATGAAAATTGGTGTCTGGATATTCTTTTACGTGAGAAATTTGATTTTGATGTTATGAGTTATGACTCCCACTGTGGTGTGCGCCGTTTACATGTTTTTCAACTATTTTGAAAAGAAATAATTTTTCGTTCGCACCTGTATTACACTACCGAGGAAAATGTATATATTTTCACCATTTTTTGCATAAAAAGGTCATAAAGAAGCTACAAAATGCAGCTAATCAGTGTAATATTAAAATAAATATATTGAAAACCAAGTCAATCAGAATGAATTCAAATATAAACACACTGTTCAACATTTCTGGACAAATGATAGAGGACATTGAGAAGTTTACGTATCTAGACAGTATAATAAATACGTGTTGACTATATACCATATGACCGAAAAAAAAACGGCGTCAGCGATGGCTATGAAATGAAGATCGTTATCATTTTATATGTAAAATTATATGGGGAATGGATGGCGTTTTTTTTTCGATCATATAGTAGTTATTAGACTGAAATAATAAATTTGGACATGTTTTTGTGCGAAATTTTCAACAGAAACTGTTTTATCATAAATTAAAAAACATAAGATGTTTCCAAATTTATCATTTCAGTAAAATAACTTTGATAATTTTGTTTCTAAATATTTTGAGAATGATTGCCCCTAGCAATTTTTACTAAGAGATTTTTTTACATAAAAAATGCGGAAATCTATATTTGTTCTATCAGTGTAATACAGGTACGGACGAAAAATTATTACAGTTATAAAAGATATAGGTGCATGGCGCCCCCTACAAGTAGGAGTCATACTAACGCTGAAATCAGATTTCTAATGTCTAAAGATACCCACACACCAATTTTCATCCAAATATCGATAAAAATAATGAACAAATTATTCAGAGAAAATCTATATAAAAACTTCTACACCCTGTATGGCCTGTATCTCCGAAACGAAGCATTTTAGGACTCATGTCTTCATACGAACTTTTTTACTTATTTTTATCCGCAGAATATGTTGTCGAAGTTTTCCGACTACAATTCTGACCACCCTGTATAATATCTGTTCTATAATTTCTAGTCGATATCTCCAGCAGCATCTCAACAAAACCAATTCAATGATGCCTTGAGTAACCCAACTCTAAACTTGTACAGCGTTCCTCAACAACCGCCGAGGGGATACAATCCAACTCATTTTGCTTTCCACAGTGGTCCTGTAGGAGCCAACAATATCCCGATGAACGTGAAATTTAATTTGCCAGAGAACAACTTCTTTAATCAACAGTTCCAGAAGAACAAACAGAAGTTTCCGTTGAGTAGCAACATTCCTGTGAGGCCCACCGCGGAGAACCTACAAGCTAAACCAAGAAGGCCTGTACCGGAACATTTGCTGAACCAGCAATTTCCAGTAGTACCCTTCCAGTTGCCTCCGCTTACTAATGGGTAAATATATAAATAAATAACATGAACTGCTTCTTTTACATCAGCTTTTAAAGCCTGTTTATTCCTCTGGTTGCGTCTGTTCTGTTGTTTATTCACAACAATAATAAACAACAAAATACATTGGACGCTGCACAACAACGAGAGCAATCGGGCTTTAGAAGCGTATTGATCATAATATACATCCATTAAGAGAAACTATTATTCGAACAAAAGAATATGAACTTCCATTAGCCACAGCTTTAATAGACAATGTAGGCAAATCCCTCAAATAGCAATGGACATGACACCTGACAAGAAAGACAGATGGATCAGAAAAATTCCAGCATGGTACCCACGAGGAATTCAGAGACCTAGAAGAAGGCCAAACTTAAGATGGGACCATAAAATTAGGAAATTAGCAGGGATATATTAGACTCGCATAGCCCAACAATAGATAACAATGGGTCCAACTACAAGACGTTATCTTAATATGTAAAGGAGGCTACACTGTAATTGGAAATGGTTGAATAAGCTGGAAATTATGATTCTTACTGTAGATAAAATTTAAAAAATGTCTATACCTATGTGGCGGATTCATCTCTCCAAAAAAATCCTATATGGGTATTTCGCCACTGCATGAAAATCTACAAAATAAAATAGTTATTTTTTGTAAACACTGCTGCGTTAATCCAACGGAGACTAATTGTCAACACTGGCTTACAAATGACCAAATTTGCCTAACGGGCAAAAAAATGCTTAACGTTTCGGAAAGTTTATCTCTTACTCTCGCCGGAAGCAAAAAATACAGGGAATAAAGAAAAAACTATTTAAAATATTTAAATGCAACTATTCGAGAACACTTTTGTTGTTTTTTTAAACAGATACGTCTACAGAAACCGTTGACGTTCTGTTAAAATGACACTATATCAAATTAAACTTCAAAATTAACAATTATTACCTGATAACAATTACTTAATAAGGTAAAACCAAAAAGCTTCAAACTTTCTGTATGATTACGTTTAATTTGTTTTTAATTTTTTCGTATGTTATATTTTTTAAAATCAAAGAAGCGATTACCATACATTACTAACATCTACAGATGCATGAAAAAGATATTTATTTTTATTAGATTGTATTAAAAAACCTTATTTATTTTTCTTTTAGAGACTATCGCTTCTTTCATTATAATTTTGTCTTTGTTAAAATCTATTCTGTGCCCTGTGTCCCAGCATGCTGACAAATCTTAGATTTCTGAAAGTCGCCCTTTCTTAAATAATCTTTATGTTCTTTGATTCGAACATCTAGATGTTGTAGAATATAGAATGTTTAGGAAGCGAGTTATTAATCACCGCGACCTTACAGATCTATTGTGTGTTCCCATTTCTTGAGTTATAACGAGTTATAACTCATCATACAGTCTCAGGGCCTTAACAAAAGCCAGTTCTGTTCTCTTTTTTCAAAAGCCCACAGAAATTCGCTTTTGTTTCCGTCTAGATGTTTCACCAATACAAAATTTATCGCATTCACATGGTATTTTGTATATTACATTTTTCGTTTCTTGTTCAGTATTCATTATTAACATTTAAGATTAACAATTGTTTGAATGTTAACTGGTAGTAATATTGTTATTTAGATTTATCAAAAAAAAATTGTTATTCCAGGTTGCAAGGACCTCAAGAATTTTATTACGTCAACAATCCCCAAGTCAATCCTAATGGACAGCCGCAACAAAATGAAGAGAAACCAGTGAATGAAGAAAGAGATGAAAATGGAAACGAAAACGAAGAAGAAGAGGCAGAAGAAGAAGAGGAAGAACAAGAGGAGGATGGTGGTGAAGAAAACGAAGGTTAGATGTTTAATATCTACATCTTTTTTATACAACTTATTTTTATAATTTATTGTGGAGTTTTAAAGCGTCATAAAAGTTCTAGTCTACGGAAAGTGCTTGATACTTTTGATACTACTTCAGAGTAATATTCTACAATATACTGGGTACGTCTCAAATTTTGGTCTCAAAAGTGGCTCACCCCCTAAAACTTTTTTATTTTATTTTTTCAGTTAAAAAAAACGAGATTTGGTATGTTAGTATATGACATTAATTAGAACTGATTGACGTATTCAGTTGTTTTCGGTCACTTCCTGTTCCACCGGAAATGACTACAACTTTTGATTTTTAAATAGCACTCTCGGTATTTTTTTACTTTATTCGACAGAAAATAACACTCTGGATAGAATGACATATCATATGTCAACTTTGACATTTTGGCATATGTTTTTTTTAAATTTTAACTTGCGGTTTGTATGGAAAATTTTATTCGAAATACCAAGTGTGTGGTATCAAATTATTTGAAAAAATTCATTTTTCCAAATATGCTAATCATTTTCTAACTGGCTAGGACAAGACACTAAAAACATTAGACGATCATATCCATTTTTGTAAGACTCCTTGACTAAAAATTAGTGTTTTTAACATAGGCACTCTAGATCTAGATTGAAATTTAAAATGCAATTTTTTATTTAACGAAAATGTCAAAAGTTGACATATGATCATCATTTTCTATGTAAAAAAATTTCGAGAGGGCTATTTAAAAATCAAAAGTTGTAGTAATTTCCGATGAAACAGGAAGTGACCAAAAACAATTGAATACGTCAATCAATCCTAATTTATGTCATATTATACTAATATACCAAATCCCGTTTTTTTTATCTGAAAAAATAAAAAATTTATAGGGGTGAGCCACTTTTGAGACGCACCCGGTATATATAAAAATCAGCCATACAAATTTAAGTTAAGTAATTCTTATTTTTAGTGACCTTACCTGGTATCTGTCAAGGTGTCACAGGGCGAAATTCACAAACACGCCGGTATTCAAAGCACATAAGTGTAGTATGTCTGATCACTTTGGGATCTTACTCTATTAGGGAAATCTGATGTTTGCGTTTTGCCAAATCCTTATCACCTGATCTTAGCTGTTATATTTAATTGGTAATAATACCTTAAAGTTGAAATGTATGACCATGAGGTAAATCCCCAAGGCAATTTCGAACTTTACATACTAATAAAAGATAGTCGAGATACAAGCCTTCCATCAAAACTGTCGCATAGGGATTGCTTTATTTTAGAAGCAAAATGGCGCATTTTTTACAAAAAAAACTATAAATAAATATGAACGTAGTCCTCAGTCCTCGTCTCCTGATTTCTTTGACTAACTCTGTACAATGTTCAATTTTGTTCAAAAAATTTCATGAATTTACCCATAAATGAAAAACTTAAAAAACACTTAATACAACTCAGCAGCAGTTACAATTCCCTCTTTATTTCAATACTGATTTATTTCGCATCGTTATGTGTTTTTGTTATCGACGACTGTCATACTCTATCAGTCATTACTAAAAGAAATATTACCTTTCCAGAAGGGGAAGAAGAAAAGGCACCAGCTGGGGACATCGAGGAAGCGTTCAATTTTGAAACGTTTCCTTTCGAAGCAGGCGACTACGTAGAGCAAAAAGAAAACCACCAATTCAAACCGTTCACCTACTTCACACAACAGAATAAAGAGAACAACGAAGAAGAAGAGAACGACGAAGAAAATGAAGAAGAGACTGAATCAGACGCCAGCCAGAAGAATCCCATCAGCTACCGCCTGCTACAAGACCAACGCCAATCCGGCTCAGTAAACAAAGAAAAACTCGGTGTCGCGCTAGACCAAAAAACCAAAGCTGTCAAAAGTCCGAAATTCTACAAGAAACTGAAAAAGTACAAGAAGAAGAAGAATGGTGCAAAGAAAGGGAAAAAAGCTAAGGGTAAGGCACCAGAGACTCTCGATGTTGCTGCTTCAATGATGATGAATTTGGAAGATGCTCCGATCACGCGCAAACAGAAAGTTTACAAAGAGAGATGGTACGTCGCTCAGGATGTACAAGATCAAAACAATCCACCAAAGAAATAAAATAAATATATTTGTTATTTTTGAGTTTACACTTGTTTTTTACTTTATTACACTTTAAGTTAACAGAGAGATTCCTATTATTTATTACTATAAGATGTTATATTTTTTGTTATTTCTTTTATTAAATACAGGGTGGTACTAAGTATCCCGAATGCAATTCAGACCACCCTGTACATAAGCCAGTATTATCATGTTTGGAAAATTCCACGGCTACTTTTTTTACTTTGATTTTTGAAAAGTGCCAAATAAAATTCGTAATTTTATCGTGATTTTTCACGTCAATTTTAGACAGAATACATATACAAATATTTGTTTATGTCTACATTATTACTTTGTCTATGATTATTACACAAACTAATTCTAATTAAAGGAAGTTATTAGCAAGTTTTCTGTAAAAAATAAAAATGTACTTTTTGTGCCTGCGCTGTAACGTCATCCAATGTACAGACTCGCCATAAAAAGTATCATTTTTACTCCTAACAAAACAATATACTATTATTGTAACTTATTTTTAAGAGATAGAAGCAAAAGGCTATAAACTTAATTTCGAAAGTCAAAATAAATTGAGTATGGTCCAGGCAGAGGAAAACTGGGTAAAATCAATAGAAGCTGCTGCGCGTTTCTATGGAGATCCTGGAACAGAGTCACATCCAGGATGTTTTTAATTTAAAAGCGTTGTAATTATATTAAAATTGTTGTGTCTATTATATGTCAATGAAAAATAAAAGTTGTATTTAATAAAATTGTTTAAATTATTTTATTTACAAATATACCGGGTGTTTTTCAAAAGTGGCTCACACCTATAACTTTTTTATTTTTTTTAGACAAAAAAACGGGATTTGGTACGTCGCGTTGTATGTACGTCGCGTACGTAAATATGGTAATCGTAAATCATACAGGATGTCCAAAATTCTATGCCAAACTTTCTAAAATATAAAATAAAAGAAAGGCTGAAAAATATATATTTTTTTTATTGATTTATTAATATCTCTGAAACTATCGAAAAATATTTAATCATATCTTAGGATTAAGTAAAGTGATCGGAAATGAAGCCAAAAATGCATTAATATACAGGGCGTCCCGTTTAAAAAAAAAACATCCCCATCCACTCACACTTTTTTGAGCCACCCTGTAGAAGTTAAAGTATTTTCCTGAAATACGTCCTAGTACAAACTTAGGTTTGCATTTGAACAAAATTACCAAGTTTTTTATTCTAGGAGCTACAGATGCCCGAGGCACTATTAGTGAACCCTGTAGATGTCATGCCAAGATGATATTTTGACTGCCAACTGAGATTCTGAGATACGAGATCTTTTTGAATTTTCGCCCATTTTGAAAATTGCCCATAACTTTTTTAATTTCAAAGAATAGTAAAATTCTGTGAAAACGTTCTTAAAGCACTTTTTTAAGCACAATCCAGTGGCGTAGTCAGTTTTTTTTTCTATACTTGCTCTTTTTGTCAAAACTATATTAGTCACTCGAAAAATACGTTTTTTTTTCGTTTTGTTCTTTGTTTATTGTATCTATTTTAATTGTAATTTGTATATCCGAATATGGATTGTTAATTTACCATTTCAAAAGTCTTTAATTATGAAGAAAAATAATAATATACGACATTAAAGTGTGATAAAAAATAATTAGGCAAATACGAGTTAGGTCAACACAAAATCAAGGCCCGCTTCAATATAAAAAATAAAACACCTAATATTTTACTCATTTTTAGAAATAAATTTCCATAACTTTATATCGTTGGAAAAAGTTAATCACCAGCATTTAAAAATGAACAGTTTAATTCATTTTAACGAGTTTTTTAAAAAGTTTTAAATAAGTTTTCTATAAGATAAATTTACCTGTGATTTGTTATGTTCAGATTGGCGATGCAACACGCGGTATTTTAATTTATAGAGACAAAAAACAATAAAAAATATATTTAATACGGTTCTGTAAGGGCGGAGACAAAACAGAATATAATATCTCCCTGTTGTGATCAGATGTCTTCAAGCTTCCCGGGTATCGCCGGTCCTGCAGGGTAAAACAATATTTGACGCTGCACATAGTTAAAGCGAAATGAAACACGAATGGTGGCTGTGTTTCGCGTTGGTTTGTGTAGTGGTGAAGGGGAAATATAGTCAAAGGGAAAGGGATTGGTCGCCTAATCCGACCACTTTTAACATCGGCGGTGTGTTGAGCACTAATGACAGTAAAGCTTTGTTTAAGGAAACTATAGATGTAAGTGCAGTGTAGTTGGTCCTCCATTCTTTTGATCAATTTTTTTTCAAATGTGTCCAAAAAGTGCAAAATAAAAAATATACAGGGTTGTTCACCACATACGACACGGAGTATTGTAGCTAAACGATTAGATTTTTACAAATTGTAAGTTTTGGGTTCTTTGAAGGACTATTGGGGCTACAATTTAAAAATATTTTTACAGAGGTACAGAATGTCCCACATAAATAAAAAATATCAAAGTATTATTTTTAGTTTCTACGATTAAAATAAAGGTAAATTTGATTAAGGTTTACCGCATTTTAATCTTACCGTTTTTTAAATATTTAGGTTTTTATCGAATACAGTAATAACTTTTTAATGCTTCAATTCTCTAGACGTCTTTAAGTTTTTAAAACCAAATATTGTACTGAAGTATTTCTATTTACTAAATTTCGTGTTGGTATAATAAAAATTATACTACTTTACTACTTTATAAAAAATTATTTTAAATAATTACTAGCTTTAACCGGCAATAACACCCTGTATATTTTATGAGAATCAGTTGCACAATTTAATTGTCTATCAAATTTAATTTTACCAATTTTTACCTATCTCTTCAAGTTTTCCTACAAAATGCATTTTGTTATAATTTAGACCTCGTTTATCAATATATCCATGGAATATTGACATTTTAGATGTTTTTAAAGCAACAAATGTATAAAATGTAGAGGTGCTAAAAACGATAATAGTACCAGCCCATTAATTTGTATTTAAATCTTTATAAAACAGTTTTTTCCGCCCAAATATTAATTAATTACATACCTGAAAATAAGAAAAATGCAGATGAACAGAAATCAGTTTATATTTAGAGATATTTAAAAAAAAATGACAAAGTTAATAAAGAGAAAAATGATATTTTTTTTACCTTTTCTGTTAATGATGAAATTCCCCTTAGAATATATAACACCCTCATTACATACGTTAGTTAATTATATTTTACTGTTACATATTTTACTTAATTAATTTAAAAGCAACAGAGTATTAACAATGTTAATATTACTTTACATATGATTATACCTTTACTAAAACACAATTGTTAAATTCATCATTAAAATAATTAAAAGAAATTGAAGGATATTACTTCATTTATGAAATATTAATTTATTTTAAATTATTTAGCGAATATTAATCTAATAAATATCTATTATAATAATTAACTAAATATATTTTCTAGCACCTCAACTTTGATTCAACATTTGTTCCCAAAGGAGTGACATATTACAACACTGCGATTTTAATGGATCCCAATCCAATCAGGACAGCTTTAAATGTTTGCAAATATCTCATATCGAAGCAGGTATATTTCTTAATTATATATTTTTTACCTTTTTTATTTTTTTATTTAAAAAAACGACATTTGGTATGTTAGTATATGACATAAATTAGGATTGATTGACGTATTCAATTATTTTCGGTCATTTCCTGTTTTACCGGTAATGACTACAACTTTTGATTTTTAAATAGCACCCCAGGTATTTTTTTACTATTAAATATATAATTATATGTAATATATATATATATATATATCTATATATATATATATATATATATATATATATATATATATATATATATATATATATATATATATATATATATATATATATATATATATATATATATATATATATATATATATATATATATATATATATATATATATATATATATATATATATATATATATATATAATTTTTACAATTTATATTCGACAGAAAATAACACTCTGAATAGAATGACATATTATATCTCAATTTTTGAAATTATAACTTGCGGTTCGTAATGAAAATTGTGCAATATGACATAAATCAGGATTGATTGACGTATTCAATTATTTTGGTACGGGGGCAAGGATTCCGGCAAGGGGAGGGGAGGGGGCTAGAGTCAAAACTTTACTCAAAGTACATACTCCAGAGTCGTTTGTGACAAAATAAATTAATAGTATCGTATTAACCGGTATTTTTTTTACTTTATTTGATAGAAAATTACATTCTCAATAGAATGACATATCATATAACAACTTTTAAGATTTTAGATTAAAAAAATAGCATTTTAAATATCAATCTAGTGTCATGGCCATAATTGCCACGAAATACCAAATATGTATACTAAATATACTCGAAATACCAAGTATGTTTTACCAAATTATTCGTAAAAAAATGGTTTTTTCAAGTCATGCTAATGTTTGAAAACCCTCGTTCCACTTGAAAAAATTGAGGTATGATTAAATATACGATTTGGGCATCTTTCACCGGCCAGGAAAACACACGAAAAACATTAGACGAACAGATCTATTTTTCCAAAGCTCCTTGATTAAAAATAAATGGTTTTAACACAGCCTACTCTAGATTGAAATTTGAGAATGTCAAGAGTTGATATATGATATGCCATTCTATTGTTGTAATCATTTCCGGTTCAACAGGAAGTGACCGAAAGTAATTGAATACGTCAATCAATCCCGATTTATGTCATATAATAACACACCAAATTTCGTTTTTTTATCTGAAAAAATAAAAAAGTACTTTTGAAAAACACTTATACACCGGTATAATTATAAAAAATAAATTTGTAATTTCAGGTGTACGCTGTTGTTGTGTCCCATCCTCTTACAGGAGACCTCTCACCTGCTGCTGTATCATACACCAGCGGTTTCTACCATATTCCCGTTATAGGCATTTCATCTAGAGATTCCGCTTTTTCCGATAAGGTAAATCGAATTATCTGTATCGTTGTTCTTTCCATTATAATTTACCGTAGAAACGTAGAATGGCCAGATCTTCAACGAATTATATAACTTTGAAAATATATATTTGCGGTATTTTCTTCGGTACCTTCACATAATTTCGATTATTTATTGTTGGAACTATCACCACTCTAATAGTAGGGGTGCCGAAGTGCGGATTTTGGATTTTATTCAAGCCACGTGAAATAACAAAGGGTGAGACACTTCCACAATACATGTACTTTCACAAAATGTACCTTCCGAATGGCATACCTTCAAAATTATTCTTCATCATTCATCAAAACAATTAAGAACAGGATGAATACGTTACTTAAAATTTAATGCGATGTAACCATATACTTAAAATTTAAGTCTATGGATGTAACAGTTGTCAATAACAAAATATGTTGAGATGGCGATCGCATATTGCCTATTACGAGCAACTTACTCTCGCTGTGCGATTTATTTCGTTCATTTGGCATAACTTGGATATTATACTAGTTAATTATTCATATAGTAAATGTAAAAAAATATTTGTTCATGTTTTTAAGTTTTGTCCATTGGATGCAACACTTTCTGACGTTTCGCGACTTTATTGTCACAGTTTTGTGCGTTCAGCATCAACATGCGTTCAGCATCAACATACCTGTGAAATAGAGTTCATTCTTTTTATAATGTGACATTGTGACATCCATGGAAAAATAATATTATTATTGTTTATTGCTTGCCAGTTACTCTAGTCAGCTCTAGGAGAGATATAGAAAATATACAGGGTGAGTCTTAAATAAGTGCAAATATTTTCAGGGGTGGTATATAAGGTGGTAAAAAGATGTTGAAAATCGTGCACTTTCTTTTAAATTTGCTTGTATATTTTTCGAAAACTTTTTAGAACTACTTGTTTACCGCAAATTTTCCCACGGTATAATTTCTTAATCTCTGATATTACCATAGTTACGGCTTTACTCCATGGTTACGGCACTAAAAGGGATGCAAGTACAGAAAAAAATTCGGTGGCTCTCAATTTTTTTTCAAAAAAAATCATTTTTTTTTAATTTTCAAACTTGAATAACCCTTTGCCTAATAATTTTGGACTTATTTGAAAAACGGTAGAGAGAAAATATGTTTCTTTTATCGAGATCTACCAGCCCTAAAAATATTTGCACTTATTTAAGACTCACCTTGTATATATCATGAAATTTATATTTTTTAATTGATAAACATTTGTTCTAGAATATCCATGTGTCATTTCTAAGAACAGTGCCGCCATATTCCCATCAGGCAGACGTCTGGGTAGAGATGCTTAAGCATTTTAATTACAAAAAAGTCATATTCATTCATAGTTCCGACACTGACGGCAGAGCTTTACTGGGGAGATTTCAAACCACCTCTCAAAGTCTGGAAGATGATATTGAAATCAAAGTCCAAGTGAGCAGAACAAAAATGTTTCTAAATAGAAGACACAACATCAGAAAAAAAAATTCTGGTTATTTTTAGGTAGAATCAGTTATAGAGTTTGAGACAGGCCTAGATAGCTTCAGAGAACAACTTTTGGAAATGAAGAACGCTCAAGCCAGGGTATACCTTATGTACGCAAAGTAAGTTTTCAATTATTTGTTTTTAGTCTCAAATGTCTTACAAATCTCATAAAATATATTTTTAAGTAAAAACGATGCAAAAGTAATATTCAGAGATGCAGCAGTGTTGAATATGACGGACACTGGCTATGCCTGGATTGTGACAGAGCAGGCTCTGGAAGCAGATAATGTTCCAGAAGGAATACTAGGTTTGAAGCTGGTTAATGCCACCAATGAAAAGGCTCATATCCGAGACAGTATGTGAGTATATTCTTAAATCATTTCGTTAAACACATATAAATTTGAAAGAAAATGGAAGACTACAAGAGTTTTGCATAGTTGCTTTATAGTCTCGGTATTGCAGATCAAACGCTAGTCTTGGTTTTTGTACAATACCAATTTGATCAAAAGATATAGAGAAATCTAATTTCATATTACTTTTTAGATACGTCTTAGCCTCAGCTCTGAGGGATATGAATCAAAGCAAGGAAATAACAGCCGCTCCGAAGGATTGTGACAACTCTGGATCGATTTGGGAGACTGGGAAGGACCTATTCAATTTCGTAAGGAAGCAAGTGCTGATCAACGGTGAAACAGGAAAAGTAGCCTTTGACGATCAAGGAGATCGGATTAACGCTGAGTACAACATTGTCAATATCCAGAGAAAGAAGAAGAAGGTTGTCGTTGGAAAACACTTTTTCAATCGGGTAAAAAATTGTTTGTAACCAGAGATATATGTACATAGAGCAAAATAAAACATTAATTCACCACAATACACGAAAACACTTGTTACAACAAATTGAGCGTTTATATAGGCGTTCGGTTGGTGCTGACCCAGCGTGGCAAAACTAGTCAGGCGAGTTAAAACCAACAAAGCGTAACTATTAATTACCAAGATTAGAGCAATAGGGGAACAGAGAACTGGAAGGAATTGGACCATTATCTCTACTCATTTTATCTTTCCATTTATTTATTTTGACGCTCTCATATGCATCTAATTGCCAGTAATTTGAGACTTCTTTGGTTAATTTTAAATTATTAATATCTATACAATGAACTTTATCAAAAATATGTAGAGCAACACAAGATTTGTCTGGTCTACCATATTATATCTGAACCATATGTTATGAGCTCCTAAGTTTGTCCAATTTATTTTTGATTACAATCTTTACATGAAATTTCAAAATACCCGGCCTGTTTAGTAAAGATGTTTTAACTTTAGGATTACTTAATAGTTGTTGTAATTTATTATTAGCGCTATACACAAGTTTATAATTGACATTCTTGAAAATTCTTTTTAAATCACGGGGTAACTTTCTATCAAACGGTATTGAAATATAGTTTGATGTATCTTTCATCAATATTGTTTTTAATTCGAAAGAAATAGAAGGTATAAGTGTGCGATTTTAATCTCTTTTGATTTTAAATATCTCTTTTGACGTTCGACATAATTCTTCTGTATATGATCCACCCATAGACTTAAAATAAAATATAGACTGAGCATCTCATTCATAAATAGCTGGAACATGCGGTCAGACAACGTCTTGTTATTGTTGTGTTATTGTTTTAGGTTATAACGAGTGCGACACGAGCGATAGATAGGTTGTCTCTGTCATAACGGTCGTTCCCTGACGACTCTGCCGAGAAACACAACACTGTCTTTCGTTTCTCAAGTACACCTGAACTCTCCGTATCATAGCCGGGTAACTTTTTTATTTTAATGAAGCTATAATTAAATTAAAAATATATCGTATTTAAATATTTTATTAAGATTTAGGACAGGTTTTTTGAATAAAAGTTTAGAAAAAAACGTCTTAGAGTCCAAAAAGGATAAAAATAATAAAATACACGTTATAGAAGAAATTTTATAATCGAAATTACGTAATTTTTGAAATTAATAATAAATTATTAATTTTAGTCAAACATTTACAACCCCTAATATTAATCAAAACAGGATCTATTTCACAGATATAATAGAATCGGCGACAGGGAGAGAAAAAAAATATGATTTTTGTAATTTTTTTTCTGGTTAAGTGACGTCTTATTATGTAAATTAGAGAAAACATAAATCTGTTCCATTAAAGCAAGGAAGGTGATAGGAAGTGGATAATATGAAAACTACATTTATTTAACTCGGTACTGTCTTTATTATACCGGGTGCGTTCCAAAAGTGGCCCATCCTCATAATTTTTTTATATTTTCAAATAAAAAATTACATAAATTAGGATTGATTGACTTTTTACATAAATTAGGATTGATTTTTGTATCTGAAAAAATAAAAAAGTTATAGGGGTGAGCCACTTTTGAGACGACCCGGTATCTTAAAAAATATTGTTTCATAATGTAATATCATTTTAAAATTCTTGTATGTTATTTTAGATTCTGAAGATAATTTTAGAATAAACCGGAATATATTTTTAATAAAAACATTATTAATTATTAACAGGGTTATAATTATGATTTTGTTACAATGTAAGTAAGTAAATAATGTAATGTAAGAGAAAAAATTCAGATTTTACATTTTACTAAAATATTATCTAAATAAGCGCCTTTCTACAACAACGCCACTGACTCCCAATGGGTAAATTGAGAGTTGCCTACCGGTCAAAAGTCGTTTCAAGACTTAAATGGATTATTTAAGTCAAATTTCTTGCAAATTTGGCACTGGCGAACCATATTTTATAGTTCTTGAACAGAAAAAGTCAATAAAATAAACACTTAAGCACTACAAGCTAAGAAAATGCGTTAATACAGCCGGGGAGATAGCGGCAACAAAGCTTTACCGCACACGTGCGACACGTACTACAAGGTAATAAATGAATGAATAGGCTCCCTCGCCTCTAATCGGTGTTGTCATATTGTAAAGAACTTATCCTTTTTAAACAGTATCCGACTTATAATTTAGTAGTATAAGGACTATTTAATACATCTCTGGAATATTAAAACCTACTTTATTAAACTGTAGTATTAATATCTCAATATATGTGTATAACAAGAAAAAAAATATTGATAATATTAAAGACGTGACAACATAGGCTGGATGAGGAAGGCTCGGTCGACTGTACCCAGAAGTAAACATGTGTACAAAAAAGGTTGTTTGTCCGCGTTGAGATGTAAATAGTGTAGTCTATATTTTATTTTAAGTCTATGGATCCACCATTCTTCTTTTTTACTTTCTGCAAGTAATTAACTCATGTTGCCTTAATCTGACGCTGTCGAGTTTTTCTAATGATATTTTTTTACTACTTTCATCGGCTGCTCTATACGTACAATCCTGGGAGGCCCTACATGCAACGACTTGATCTGCATGCCAAATCGAGCGGGTCGCTCTCAGGAGTTGGGTAAAGCTGGTGTGTGGCCAAAGGAAATATATATTATATTTCAGAAATCTGCGTAAGGCTTAGCCCGATCCGGTCGTATTAAGCCACACCCAAAATTCCAAACATACGTGCTTTGATTAAGGTTTGCAGAGCTTCAGCATTTGCGATAAAATAGCGAGCAATTTATTACAAAACCATATAAATTATATATCACTGTATTCACAAAACTTCAATCTATTTCCGTATTGTAACGGAATTTTGAAGTATGTCTTTATTTTCGAGAAAATTTAGTCCAAACATAAGGAATATTTTGTTCATGCATTACAACCTTTAAAATTTTAAAAATAAAGTAGTTGTCTTAAAATGTACTACAATACGGATATAGTATAATCATGGTATAATCCTTTATCTTTAATTTCCTTCTTCATTTGTGTAAAAATAGCTAGCCAGTTTTACATAAAACATTAAATGCCGAACGCTTATTTTGCTACTTTTTCGGACTAGTAAAATGGACTCTTAAGACCATATCGATAGTGATCGATCAACGTTAATTTTTGAAGACTGTGTTAGTGGCGCGGCCTTTGGCGTCTAACCCGAACCACCCCGAACTATGAGCGCATTATCGATATAGTAGGTTGCATTCATACCTATATTCTGGCGCCAAAATTTAAAATTTGTATATTTGAACCGAATCTTAATATTACAAATTTATAATAAGAAATCTTCGTAGTTTTTTTAGATTATTTTGTTGACAACGAAAATTTATTATTAGACTTTAACGCATTAAAACCTATATATAAAATACTGTGTAGGAACATAATAATTTATTTAACTCCATACTCCTTGCTCAGTATCTTTTTTATCTAACTTGGTTGGGAGTGAACAGGGAAGCACGGTTGGGAGCTCGCACAGAGTATCAGTAGGTATCCCGTAGGTATTCAATGTTTTTGATAGTCTTTATTCTCTAAAAAGAACCTAGCAGTTGAAGAAAATAATTTGTAATACCGGTAATAATACCAGGTATAATACCTAGTCGTTTCATAGGTATCAGAAAAGAATGTGATGTTTTAAATTAAAAAAATTAAATTAGCAATGTACGATTATTATTTGCACTCACTATTACTATTAGGTATCTTAAAATAATTACCGAGATAAAACTAACCTTTAAACGAAACGTTTTGTCTGGGTCTCAACCACAAAAAAAATTACAAAAATGCCGAATAATCGTGGAATCTGAAATAATCAATAATGACAATAATCTTCTCTTCTGACAAGCTAAAAGAACAGGCACATTCAGTTAAAAACAATTTATTACTCCGATTTGCTCCGATTATCAACAGATTTTAGTTATCTCCTTCTAGAACTAAGAAATAGAAAAAGCTGCTGATCTAATTAAATCACAATCTAATTAATCCTGTCAAATGTTTAACTTGCAAAGTTGAAAACTTCCTTTTTTGACCGCTTAAACACTATGCGCGTCTGGGATGCGCGGTGACAAAATAAACTTGTCTACGAAATGCCCTATTCCACAAGCCCTCTTACTTTAGTTATTAGTTTCTCTCTGCCTTTTAAGACTCCCCTACTACCTATTCCTATACAGATTATATATACAGTCTGCATAAGCAATGATATCTTGAATTTTTTTTCTATTTAAATGTTTACACTTTGTATATCCTTTTATTTTTTTAGGAAACAAATAAAATGCATTTGACAGTTGACGAGAAGATAATCATGTGGCCTGGCAGGAAAAACGTAAAGCCTGAGGGTTTCATGATTCCCACCCACCTGAAAGTGCTAACGATCGAGGAAAAACCGTTTGTTTACGTGAGGAAATTGGAAGGTTTAGGCACGTGCGGTGAGGAGGAGATACCCTGTCCCCATTTTAATGAGACACACGACAGTAAGTCGATATTGCTTAATTTAGAAACATATAATAATGACGCCATTGAGAGAATACTCATACGCCATAACTTTATATGTATAGGGTGATTCATGTCGATGCAAGTTAAACGTTTATGGAGAACCGGTGACAGGATTTTTTTGAAAATTTGGGTTTTTATATACCGTGTGCGTCTCAAAAGTGGCTGACCCCTATAACTTTTTTTATTTTTTCAGATAAAATAATGAGATTTGATATGTTAGTATATGATATAAATTAGGATTGATTGACATATTCAATTGTTTTCGGTCACTTCCGGTTTTACCGGAAATTACTACAACTTTTGATTTTTAAATGTCACCATTGGTATTCTTTTACTTTATTTGATAGAAAATGACACTTTTATCTCCGAAACTATTGAAGTTAGGTATAGGTTAGTATAATAGAAAAACTATGAGATATGAAAGTAGTTTCCAACAATCTAATAATATACTGGGGTGTTCCATTTAAAATAACAAAGATGCTACCACTTTTAGTATGAAACGAGAACACTGTAAACGTAAAGCTGAAAATAATTTAGACAGATGAAGCGGATGCCTTTATGCAAAACTCCAAACTTTCAAAAAAATCCTATCACCGGTTCTCTACAAACGTCTGACCCACCATGGTTGTGAATCACCCTGTATTATTATTTTGACTCTACTTTATTTAGTTACAGCCAAGTACTGTTGCAAGGGCTACTGTATGGACCTCCTAAAGGAACTTTCCAGAAAGATCAATTTTACCTACAGTCTAGCCTTATCACCTGACGGTCAATTCGGCAACTACCTCATTAAAAACACGTCGGGCAGTGGCAAGAAAGAATGGACAGGTCTGATTGGAGAACTGGTCAGTGAAAGGGCTGACATGATAGTTGCTCCGTTGACCATCAACCCAGAAAGGGCCGAATTTATCGAGTTTAGCAAACCGTTCAAATACCAAGGCATTACTATATTAGAAAAGAAGGTATAGAAAAATCAATAGACGTTGACATGCACGTCATCAAAATATTTGACAAATACACGTCGCAATGTTGCCAGGGCTACTTTTTTGATTCAATTTCCAAATAAAATTCGTAATTTTGTCACCGATTTTTCTCTTCAGTTTTAGACACAATATATACAGTCACCGGCACGAACAGACACCTTAAAATTTTGATTTAATTTTAAAGTTTAATATCCGGGTGCGTCTCAAAAGTGGCTTACCGCTATAGCTTTTTTATTTTTTCAAATAAAAAAACGAGATTTGGTATGTTAGTATATGACATAAATTTGGATTGATTGAGGTATTCAGTTCTTTTCGGTCACTTCCTGTTTCACCGGAAATGACCACAACTTTTGATTTTTAAATGGTACCCTTGGTATTTTTTTACTTTATTCGATAGAAAACGATACTCTGAATAAAACGACATATCATATGTCAATTTGTTGGCCCGATTTTGATGTTTTTTTAGCAATTAGTAGCTAAATTATTTGACTTTTTAGTATATATAAATAATAATAATAATTTTTTATTTATTAGAAATTTAATTTGGCAATACTTTCGACTTCATTGAGATATGCACGCCAACTTTTATTGACCTCTCTATATGGTGCAACCACCAAAAAATATTTTTTTTATCGAAATATGATCTTTTTGTAGCCATCCAGGTCCTCAACTTTGGTATCATTTTTGCAACCGTTTAGCAACACATTATGGATTCTTGTAATGGTCTCAGTACATGTAGTAGCACTAGTCCTGTACCTTCTGGACAGGTTCTCACCTTTTGGAAGGTTTAAACTGGCTAACACCGACGGTACTGAAGAAGATGCTTTGAACCTTTCCAGTGCCATTTGGTTTGCTTGGGGTGTACTTCTGAACAGCGGAATTGGTGAAGGTACTGCTCATTAATATATAATTCAATATACAATAAACATATTAAAGTACCATACAATCGAAAAAAAACGGCGTCAAAGACGACTGGGGAATAACAATCGATGATAATTTTGGCGAGGTCAAGCCCTATACGTCACTCACTTAGCCAGTACTCTTGTTTATTTTTTAATGACGCTTACTGCCAGTTGGTCTTAAGAAGATTTTAATTTAATTTTATATTGAGTAAAAATGATTTTCAAATGATGTATATGGTGATCCTCTCCTGATCTGTAGGTTAGCATAAATCATTTCTCTAAAATTAAAACGGATTTTAGGAACTCCTAGAAGTTTCTCAGCAAGAGTCCTAGGAATGGTGTGGGCTGGTTTTGCCATGATCATCGTAGCCTCCTACACTGCCAACTTGGCGGCCTTCCTAGTGTTGGAAAGACCCAAAACGAAACTGACTGGTATCAATGATGCTAGAGTATGTAAAAAATCATGTTTTTTCCTTTAAATTAAATTGATTATGAATAATATTGTTTCATTTTTAGCTTAGGAACACCATGGAGAATCTGACTTGCGCCACAGTTAAAGGATCCGCTGTTGATATGTATTTTAGAAGACAAGTTGAATTGTCCAATATGTATCGTACTATGGAAGCTAATAATTATGATACAGCTGAAAAAGCTATTGCTGATGTCAAGGATGGGTAATAATTGTTTATTTTTTTAAACGTCACAAAAGTAATAATTTTTGCAACGTGATTGACATTATCAAAAAATCATTTTTTGAAGCATAGGCATAAAAGTAAAGCACTTTTACGCCAAAAGCTTGATTTTCATGCATCCGTTATCCGACGATACGATGGTACGATATTAATTTTATTGGTTGATTTTAAAGACTTCGATTGGTTAACCGTTTCTAACCAATCAAAGTCTTTATACTTGAGTCTATACTAATATATAAAATCCCTAAGTGACTGAAATACTGATTAATCACGATCCTGCTCAAACCACTCAACGTAAGAAGCTCAATTTGTTCAATACAAGTTGATTCTAGGGTGTAGAGGTTCGATAAGAAGGGATTTTACGAAATTCCAGTTCCAAGAGGGTGAAACCATAAAATCGTGAAACAACCCCTCAAATATTACAATATTTTTTATTTAAAAAACGGTCAAGTTTCCGAAAAAACGCTTAAACACGTATATTTTATTTTGTTTTTTTACATATTTTAAGATTTTTTAAAAATGTATACAGGGTGTTTCGAAAAATCTGGTCATTGATTAATCACGATCCTGCTTAAAGCGCTTGACGAAAAAAGCTGAATTTTGGAAAACAGATTGACTTTAGGGTGTAGAGGTTCGATAAGAAGGGATTTTTCGAAACTCGAGTGAAACTATCCCTCAAATATTACAATATTTTTATTTAAAAACCGGTGAGTTTTTCGGAAAAACCCTTAAACACGTATATTTTATTTTGTTGTTTTACATATTTTAAGATTTTTTATAAATTTATACAGGGTGTTTCATAAAATATGACCATTGAGTAATCACGATTCTGCTTAAACTGCTTGACGTTTAAAGCTGATTTTTGGCAAACGGATTGACTGTGGGGTGTAGAGGTTCGATAAGGAGGGGTTTCTCAAATCTCAAATTCGAAAAAGGTGAAAACGCCCCTCAAATATTACAATATGTGTTATTTAAAAAATGGTTAGTCTTTCGGGAAACGCTTGGACAAGCATAATTTATTTGTTTTTTTTTACATATTTTGAAATTTTTTAAAAAAATCATACAGGGTGTTCCAAAAAGTTGGGTAATTTCTTAACCACGATTCTGCTTAAACTACTTGACCTAAAAAGCTTATTTTTGCCAAACGGATTTTTCGAAAGTCAAATTCCAACGAGATGAAACTACCCCTCAAATATTACCAAGTTATATAATAATATCGCCATATTGTTTTTTCTCATGCTGACATAAATGTGAGAAAATTTTATCCAGTTTGTATGTTAATGGAAATTCTTGCTTTGCTTTATCATCACCATTACAAATGATTAAATGCTAGTTCAACCAATAAAATTAATATCGTATCATCGTATCGTTTTACAACGGCTGCATGAAAATCAAGCTTAAGCCATAGGCTTAAGCCCAAGCCATGCCTTAGCACAGAAGTACGAAAATATATTATTAAACTGACACAAAGTGTCAAATTCAACGAGTGTAACCATAGTTTCTCGATTTACAATTACTTACAAGGTATTAGGTACTTTTAAATATTTTTATATTATGTGCAACGTTTGAAAAAAAATATTTGTAACCTTTAAAAAATATAATGTTCTATTCAGAGTAAAAATATCAAACGTATAGCCTGGCTACAAAAAGTACATTTTTTACTCCTACTAAAACACTATACCTATTTTTAAGTAGGAATTTTATACTTTTACAGAAATCTTATGGCATTTATATGGGACAGTTCACGGTTAGAATTTGAAGCTGCCCAAGATTGTGAATTGGTCACAGCTGGAGAATTATTTGGTAGATCTGGATATGGTATAGGACTACAGAAAGGATCACCATGGGCTGATGACGTTACATTAGCGATTTTAGATTTTCACGAAGGTATGTATAGGAAAATCAATATAAGTTGGCGTGCCCGTCATTAAAATATCTGACAAATGCATGTTGCAATGTTGCCACGGATACCTCACTTATACCTCATAGACGCACCCGGTATAATAGGTCCAATTTTTTTTATTTACATTATTATTGTCTATAATTATTACATAATCACATTCTACCTAAATCAAGTTATTAGCAATGTCGATTAGCCTTTTATTATTATTAGTTTTTGTGAGATTCTATTCACGAGTCCGTGAACTGATATCGGGCGCAACTGAAACACGCTCAAAGATCTATGTATTTTCAATAAAAGCCGGAAAACTTACGCAACAATATCTATTTTTACTTCTGATGGTCTCTTTCCTGTTCAAAATAATTGAGCAGAAACGATACAAGTTGCTGATTCCGACTATTTAGCACAGTTTCATATATACACAACGCTGTTTTAATTTCAAATTTGTCAAAAAGTGCCCTCTTAAGTTTCAAACGAATTTGTCTTTATCAGAAAATATTTTTTTTTGATGACGTGCAGACCACTTTTATTGATTTCTCTATAAGAACATAAAGACTGAACTTTCGCACTGAAAAAAATAAAAAAATCTATTGATTACGATCTTAATTTTTACTCTTTGCTTTTTTTATTTGAAATAAATGGTAATCGGACTTCTTGCATACCTTGTAAATTACTAAGATATCTTTTCGATTGGTAGGTGGCTTTATGGAGAGCCTGGATAACAAATGGATCCTGCAAGGAAACACCCAGCAATGTGAACAATTTGAAAAGACTCCAAATACTCTAGGTTTGAAAAATATGGCGGGGGTGTTTATTTTGGTGGGTGCCGGTATCATAGGAGGCATGGGCTTGATAGTTATAGAGATGGTGTACAAAAAACATCAAATGAAGAAACAGAAACGGATGGAATTGGCCAGACATGCTGCTGATAAGTGGAGGGGATGTGTTGAGGTAAATATATACAGGGTGTTACTGAATCAGTGTTCGATATTTCACTGGGTGATTCGAAAATGCTTCGTTTTCGAGATACAGGGTGTCAAAGTTTTGAGAAAAAACTCGTTTTTAAGGTTCTGTACCTCAAAAGGTAAAAGCGAAACCCTTATAGGATTAATGTGTTCTGTCTGTAAAAGAGTATTATATCTCTGGTCTTATATCTATGATCGAAATTCTACCAACACTCGCTGACACAGATTGTAATTTTTTGCATCTCTATGTTAAATACCGGATAAGTCTCACCGGTATTAAAGAAAATAATGTTAGTGGGTAAAATTTAGAGAAAAATAAATATTTTCTCATACTTCTAGAAACGAAAAACCCTAAGAGCTTCCTCTGGACTACAACGACGTATCAAATCAAACGGTGTAAATGAAGCCGTCACAATATCCCACGTAGTGGACAAGTTCCAGAGAGTAGGCCAACTGACAGGCCCAGAAAGAGCCTGGCCCGGCGACACTGACATAAGACAGAGGCGTACCGAAGAAGGCGGTGGTCCGCAGCCTATACCTAGGTATTTGCCTGGGTATACCTGGGACGTATCCCACCTCGTTGTTTAAACCTAGTCGTTGTTGTGGCCTCGTTTTTATTCATTTGTTATCGTTTATTATGAAATATTTAGATAGTTTAATTGTTGTAAGCAATGTTAGGGTTAAGGGAAAATATATTAAAAAATAAAACTACATAGATTTTGTTTTATTATAATTTTTTTAATTTATAGTCTGTCCAACGACTCGGGAAACATTTCGACAGTCGACATCCAAAAAATGACAGAAAATAGAATTTGCCTGTGAATTAAAATGACAGTCACAAATGTCAGTGTCAGAGATCTTCCCTTTGTATAGACTTCTTAATTATTGTTTATTAAGGGAGATTTAGACAAAATTTTCAAGGTAACAAAGAAATAACGAAAGAAATTTCATTTATTTTTCGCAACATGGCTGTATGAAGAATAAAAACATGTATGTTCAATTATTTGACAAATACAGTGTATTTTTAAGGTTTCAGGTATTAATACTTTAATCATTACGTTTATCTATGAATATGATTAAACTTTAATATTTCATTCAGAAGCTCAAAATTCGTGGAATATATTAGTGGTTGCAATTATTCATTTATATGATCGAAAGAAAACTGCGTCAACCATGGCTATGAAATGAAGATCGCTGTCATTTGGTACGTAAAATTACAAGCCAACTGGACACCGGTTTTTTTTTCGTTCATATAGTACTTGATATTATACTTAAGAATTTACGCTCATTCGCAATGTCTAAAAAACATAAAATTATTAACAGCTTGGGGGAGTCAGGAGTCAATTGTATTCATAGAGAAAGCCTAATAAATTAGCTTATAAAATACTAAAATTTTTGTTTCTAACCACGATTTCTCTTGATGAATGATGATCAAAGGCCAGAATTACATTACTGTCAAATTTTAAAGCATAATTAGTGGAAAAAGTTACAGTTTGTTAACTTTTTTAACCACTAATTTTGACCTTCTCAATGCTTACCAAACCAAATTAGAAGAACAAACTACGCTAATTAAAACCACTAATTTATTCCAATAATTTCGAGGTTTCGAATGAGGCTTAAGTCTGTATGATATAAATTAACTTATTTAATTTAATCAACATCTAATCTCTGCCTGGTATTTCTTTTTGCTCCCGCGGAAAATTTCCTTTTCTTAAAACTACTTGGTCCCTGATCATTGCCCACACTCTCGATAACCTTCTCTTTGAATTCTTTTACCACTGGCTCTGGCTCAACCACAACCGGACAGTCCAGGTACTCTGGTTGCTCTGGCAATTGCAAGTCTAGTGGAGCACTGTAAAGTATGGTTTGTTCAATATTTTAACATTACGTCACTTATTGGCCTATATTTTGTACAAAATTAGTACAAAACTGTGGACCGCACAAAACTTGTGATTATATTGGAAACACGTACAATTTTTAATGCGCTTGCGCAAAACAAGGTCATCGGAGTAGACAAATCTATTGAAGGCTTCGTAAGTGCAATAAAGAAAGTATGAAAATAGCACGTGATGATGTTAACATGGTTAGCGAAACGCGCGTCCAATGTAAAAATGTTTTGGTGTATTGTGGTGATTTAGTGTTTTATTTTGATGTGTAACACCAAAGGTTCCAACTCTCAACTGTAATGTGATGATCTTGGAGACACCCTTTCTAATGCTAATCTTAAAGCATTGATATATCTAAGTAAGTATACAGGGTGAGTCTTAAATAAGTGCAAATTTTTTCAGAGCTGCTAGATCTAAAAAAACATATTTCTTCTTTACCGTTTTTCAATTAAGTCCAAAATAACCGACATATTTTACTTTGGAAATTTCAAGAAAACAAAATTACTTTTCGTTTAAATTTTAAGAAACTGGATCTTTTCTGTTTTTTTTCTTGTAAATTTAATCAACTACCGATGTTGCCATATTATGAATATATTATGTTTTTTTTAATTAAAAATAAAAAAAAAATCACGAAAAAAACCTCATAGACGTGTTTCTGGGACCGAAATATACTACTCCTAAAAATATTTGTACTTATTTAAGACTGACCCTGTATATGATCTACAGTAATAACTGTATTATCTAAATGAAGATCATCAAAATAATAAATGGAAACTTACACTTCTTTAACAGACTGCCACTTGCCATAGGCATCATTTTTGCCCTCGTCCAGCAAAGGGCCATAAGTCGGAGGAGGTGTTTCTTCCTTAACTCTTCTCGCTTTCAATTTTTCTCTCTCTAATTTGGCTCTTCGTTCTTCATCGTCGTGGTTTTGTTCTTGTATCCTGGTTTTAAGAAATTAATGAAATATAATCTGTGTTTAAATATAATGCTCCATTCCTGCTTCCATGCTTAAAATTTTACAGGAAGCAAAGCTGATTCCAAATAATATATCGAAAAATAAAAATTTTCGTCAGATAAATATTGTTTCTTTGTTTCATTTGCATTAAATTACTTAAAATACTATTGATTTAAAGATTTCCTATAAAAGTCCAAGACTTGTAAGTCTTGAAGCAAGGGCAAGACCAATAAAGTCTTGGTTTTGGTCTTGCATTTGCACATCACTATTTATAAATGAATGTTACCTTAATAAAGCTTCCTTTCTCCTAAAACTTTCGACTTCTTTCACCTGTTTGGATGTTTCTTTTAAACTTTCCTCCCTTTGTTCTTTTACAGATAAAAATCCTTCAGGAGGTGCTGTCCAGACGGTCTCTAAAATAGGACAAAGCATTGTTTAAAGTGTTATAGAGTAAACAAAATTATTCTATCACCGTTTGTTAGAGTGTTCCAATAGTAGCTCTTCCCATCTTTGGCTACCAGTTCCTTCCAAATTTTTCTAACTCCGCTAGCAATTTCCAACTGTTCATCTTTCAGCCTTTGGTTGATAGCGATAGATGTTAAATCCGCAGCTGTGTTTTGTTGTACGTCTTTTTGGTAGGCTTGCATTGCGGCAAGCTCCATCGCTTTAATAGCTGCATCCATCTAAAGAGGTAAATTTGGAAATGCATAGTACCGTATGATCGAAAAAATACGTCGTCACAAACGGCAGGAGAATGACAATCGAAGATAATTTTAGGGATGTCAATCTCTAGACGTCTTTTACTAAAAATTGACATAAAACTTGTCAAAAATTAACACTAATTATAGAAAGGTTAGAAAGGATAGAACGTTTCCAGACACACAAACCTATTGCCAAAAAAAGTTTTCTCGAAGTTTGAAGTACGCCATTTATAAATGACTTTTACTCAATATAAAAGTATGGTCTAAGGCTTGACCTCGCTAAAATTACCATCAATTGTCATTTCTGAGCCGTCTTTGACGACGTTTTTTTTCGTATGGTATAAATTCTTATTTATTACAATATTCTACATACCTTATTTGAATCCCTTTGTTCTTTTGCACTGTTTTTACTGATGGTGTTGAGTCGTTTCTTAACATTTTCCTTATGTCGTCGGCCATTTTCATGAAAATCTCTGCTCTAAGAAAATAACAAAGTAAAAAAGATGATTCGTATTAGAAAACACCCTATACAAGGTGTTCCTTAATGACATGCTAAACTTTGAGGAGGTGATTTTAAATAAAAAAATTTCATCCAAATATTGACATTCGTTCAGAAATAATTTGAAAAAATCTAAATAAAAATAAAAATTCTTCATTCTACATTTATACCAACTTTTTTTACATATTTTTATTTGCAGAATATGTTGCCGAAGCTTCCCGATTACAAAATTCGGATCACCTTGTATACTATCAATTAAAATACTAAAAGACAACCTCTATAATGTAATTTAGAATAATTAGTTTGAAAAGATTCCACAATTAAAAAATAAAATAAAATTATTTTTTTTCCACTTACTGGTTTATTGTCGGCTATCCAGCACTTGCAAAAGTCACAGTATTTCCTGTCCTGGGATTTCCAATAGTCCGCCCTGTCGTAATTTACAAAAAGAACAACAATTAAAGTAAAATAATACGTTTCAACCAAACGAAAACCCGACAAAAGCAAAATAAACACAATCCATATGTTCAACGAGCGGATTTATATAACGGATCAATACTGAAACTCCAAACAAATCATCGAGATTTGTGTTAACAGTAAAGAAAATAAACCGTAGACTTTTAAAAGTTTACTTTCTCTCATGATTGATTAGTTAATTCGAAAATTGGAATATTATACCGTGTGTCGCATTCAAAGTAGAGATGTGTAGGTCTGGTATTTCGAAAGAGTCGGGTCCGGAGTTACATGAAGCTACATGGACCTATACCCAAGTTCAAGTTCTGCCGGATCTGTAGGTAGAGATTCCTAGAGGTGGCTCTCGGCTTGATCTACTGTAACCGTCTCAGATCTATTGTGGTCCTCTTCTGATCCTTAGATTATATTCTTCAGTCCTATCCTTTTCACAAAGTTTGGCAACTTGGAGACTGAACCCTCCATGTAGCTTCCTGGCAATGGCTTATCATTGTCTATTATCGAGAACCGCAAATTTGCCATTTCTTCTTCAGATTGGTAGAACCTACACATAGTCACAGACATAGCTTCGTCTGTCAATCTCATCAGCCTCTGCATCAGCTTACAATGCCCTGTTAGTGAGCCACTACAACTTTCACTGTAGTGGGTCTACTAACAGGAACAGGGCATTGTAAGCTGAATATTTATATACAAGGTCCGGCAATAGTGCGTCGGGCATCTGTAGCTCCTAGAATAAAAAAACTTGAGAATTTTGTTTAAGTGCAAACCTAAAGTATGTACCAGGATGTATTTCAGGAAAATATTTTAACTTCTATAGGGTCGCTCAAAAAAGTGTGAGTGGACCTGGATGATTTTTTTTAAATTTAAAAACACCCCGTTTATTATTGCATTTTTGGCTTCCTTTCAGATCACTTTACATAACCCTAAGATATGAATAAATATATTTCGATAGTTTCAGAGATATTAAAAAATAAATCAAAAATATACATATATTTTTCAGCCCTTCTTAAAAAAATTATTAAAAATACAAGAACTGTTCTGAAATCAAAACTATATGAGGTATTTACTTTAGATGGTCTGTTCTTACTTTGCTATAAATATGGTAATCGTAAATCATACAGGATGTTCAATATTCAACGCCAAATTTTCTAAAATATAAAATATTTTTTCTTTGTTTTTTTAAATGAAACACCCTGTATATTATTTTTTTATTAAGTGGAGAGTTAAAAGATGAACATTTTTTGTATTTAGAGTATTTCAAAATTCTTAACGGTTTCGCAGATACACGCAGTATTATTTCATATGGCGCTTTCAATGGTAAAATACGAGAGAAAAATCATTGGGTGGCTTTGATAAAAATTTACTGTGGAAAATTCCATATGAAATATAAAACCGCAAATATCTGCGAAACCGTTAAAAATTTTGAAATACTCTAAATACAAAATATGTTCATTTTTTAATTCTCCATCTATTGAAAAAATAATATACAGGGTGTTCCATTTAAAAAAACGAAAAAAACTTATTTTATATTTTAGAAAGTTTGGCGTAGAATTTTGAACATCCTGTATAATTTAAGATTACCATATTTATAGCAAAGTAAGAACAGACCATCTAAAGTAAATACTTAGTATAGTTTTGATTTCAGAACAGTTCTTATATTTTTAATATTTTTTTTAAGAAGGGCTGAAAAATATATATTTTTGATTTACTTTTTAATATCTCTGAAACTATCGAAATGTATTTATTCATATCTTAGAGTTATGTAAAGTGATCTGAAAGGAAGCCAAAAATGCAATAATATACAGGGTGTTCCATTTAAAAAAAAATCATCCAGGTCCACTCACACTTTTTTGAGCCACCCTATAGAAGTTAAAATATTTTCCTGAAACACATCCTGGTACATACTTTAGATTTGCACTTAAACAAAATTCTCAAGTTTTTTATTCTAGGGGCTACAGATGCCCGACGCACTATTGCCGGACCGTGTATAGGTATCATTTTAACCTTTAATTTTAACTAAATTTTGTTTTGCGTGAAGCAATCCGCGTTCAAAAGTTTTGTAGTCCGTTAGGAAAATCTGATGTTGTACAGGGTGGGTCAAATTCGACGCTTTTAAATGGAAACATCCTTTTCTGTAGGAGATAGACGAAAACTAATATCAGTGTCTGGAGCTCAATTTTCATCAAAAACATGATGGTGAAAACCGCACATCAATATCTGTTACCGTTTCGGAGTTACTGGGTTTTTTTCAAAAATTGCATTTTTAACAAATCGCTGTAACTTTTTTGCTATGGAAAATTAATAATTTAAGAGTTATCAACAGAAAAATTGATTTTTTATTTGGGACACCCTCTATATTTTTAATTAACTGAAAATAATTTAAACTTATCTTTCCAAAAATATAGCACACTTGATATTTTTTTCGTCACTTTTAACTAGTAGGCTTTAGACCCCTTATTAATGGATGATATGAACGCTGAAGTTATCAGCAAATTTTTGCAGCCAATTTCAAGAATAATTGAATAGCTAACCAAGATCCCAGCCGTTGGCCATCGAGGCCGCCTGACTTAGTGCCCATGGATCTAATCTTATGGATATATTTGCGGAAGAATAAAAGGTTCTTATTCTTCGGTATAATCTAGACAAGAATTAGAAATACTTAGCAGTTATGAGAGGGTATCTTTCACCCCCACTGAGTTAATGAATTCCGCTAGAAATGTTCGAAAACGGCCCCGTCTGTCCATAACAGAAGACGGTCGATATGTCGAACACCTGTAGCAAAATCTCATGTCTTGGTTTGCTATTTATTTTTATTGTTATTAGATATATTTTAAATGTGTGTTGATGTTGGTTAAATATATTTTAAATAGTTATAAAATTCTGTATCACTCATTGCAAATATTATTCTCGTTTTAATTGATGCTCACAGCTAGAATTTTTTTGCATTACAGCCGGTGCCGTTCACAGCCTACTTATTTAAAGCGGACGAATTTTTATATACTCTATATCTGGAAGAGGAATCGAGCAAAATATCAAGTGTGTTATATTTTTGGAAAGGTAATTTTAAATTCTTTTCAATAAATTAAAAATATACAGGGTGTCCCATATAAAAAATCAAATTTTCTGGTGATAATTCTTAAATTATTAATTTTAAAAAATATACTTAAACTATTAAATTCTACGTAAAAAATGCTTTGGAAATGTTTTCATAAAAATACAAAATTTTTCATAGCAAAAAAGTTACAGAGATTTGTTAAAAATGCATATTTTTGAAAAACACCCCGTAACTCCGAAACGGTAACAGATATTGATATGCGGTTTTCACCATCATGTTTTTGACAAAAATTAAGCTCCAGACACCGATATTAGTTTTTGTCTATCTCCTATAGAAAAGGGTGTTTCCATTTAAAAGCGTCGAATTTGACCCACCCTGTACAATACAATGAACGCACTAAGAAACTCACCTTACTATTGCTGAAGGTCAAACATTATTTGTATCTGATTGTTGTTTGTGCAAACTGCCGAAATCTATGCCCAAAAGTTTATCTACGTTTTATCTGCAACGTTTTGTCGACGCAAATTAATCGTATGGTAAGTCGCTGCGTCTAGGCCGCGCTTAAGACAGTTTTTGGATTATACAAAGCAATTTTCAGCTGAGATCGATGAAAAATGAAAAACTTTCCGTCTGGAAAAACTGTATTTTCCATCAGCCGGCCGATTGAATTTTTAAAAAATAAAAGACAGCGAAAAAATCCTTCTAGCCAACGATCGAATTAAATAAATCATAATAAACGTGTCTAAAAATAGAACCAGACATCAAATAATTATGTACCATATCCATTAAACGTATATGAAAATGAGGCAAAGATATTTCCGTCAATAATTGATGGCCTGTTATTTGGATTTTCCTTTTTTATCGCCTTCGTGTTCCGGTTTGGTTTTATTAGAAGGATATTTATTTTTCGTATATTCGTTGTAAAAATACAGGGTTCGGCAATAGTGCGTCGGGCATCTGTAGTTTCTACAATAAAAAAAACTTGGGAATTTTGTTTAAGTGCAAACCTAAAGTATGTACGAAGATATATTTCAGGAAAATATTTTAACTTCTATAGGGTGGCTCAAAAAAGTGTGAGTGGATCGGGATGATTTTTTTTAAATGGAACACCCTGTATATTATTGCATTTTTGGCTTCCTTTCAGATCACTTTACATAAACCTAAGATATGAGTAAATATATTTCGATAATTACAGAGATATTAATAAATAAATAAAAAATATACAGGGTGTCCCAGAAATAAGTGCAAGTATTTTAAGGGGTGGTAGATCTCGATAAAAGAATCATATTTTCTCTGTATCGTTTTTCAAATAAGTCCAAAATAACGGAGTTATTTTACTTTGAAAATTTCCAAAAAAAAAATGATTTTTTGCTAAAATTTTGAGAACCACTGGATCTGTTCTGGATTTTCTTTCTTGTAAATTTTATCTACTACCTATGTTACCATATTATAAAGAAATTATGTTTTTTAAATAAAAACTAAAAAAAAATCCAACAATTTTTTCAACAAGTTCCGAATTTTCAATTTTCCCTGTATATTTTTCAGCCTCCCTTAAAAAATTATTAAAAATAAAAGAACAGTCCTGAAATCAAGACTATATTAGGTATTTACTTTAGATGGTCTATACTTACTTTGCTGTAAATATCGTAATCTTAAATCACACCAGGACGGCCTCTAATATTGACAAAAAAATATATCAAATGCAACTATATTTTATAAATTTTATTTATTACAGGTACCTACATATCAAGTAATCAGATATACTATAAGATGTATAGTTGTTTTAAAAAAATGTATAAGAGAGAAATATATTTTCCTAACAAAATCTTTTATGATACCGATATTACATCAACACTTTTAATTTTAAGATGTAACTAAAAGTTTTATAGGCCATTAACATGTCAGCGAATCGCTCAAATATTTATCTGAAAAATGTTTTTTCAAAGATTTCCTGATAGAATTACGACCTGTTTTAAATAATTATAAACAACACACTTTGCGTGCTCTATGCTCTATGCAAAAGAATAGAATCATATGAATTATCTCTGATTCTGATATAGGATAAGTTTGCATTTTCGGCAAATTTCTGAGATTTTTTTGTTTGAACTGACACAAAATGTAACTAGTTGTTAAAGTTGGACTAATTAGACAGCTATGTTGTGTGAAGTAACGTATAATCTATCACAGCCACCTAGATTTTATCAAATAATAAAGATCTACTGACACTAAATCATAAAAATGAAAATAACTAAGAAAATCTTTGTTTGAGGGTTAGGCAACCTTAATACTATTTTAAAGAGACATGAATTTTCTAATGAATAACGGAATTATATACTGGGTGTTCCATTTAAAATAAAGAGTAACTTGCTTTTAGAGGTGACCAATGTTCAATAATGGGTCAAGTTTTAATTTGATTTAAAGTACAATAGGTATTTTAACTACATATTAAGTTATACCGGGTAAATTCCAATTTAGGTAGCTTTTATTTAAATTTAAAAATTGTTCTTCACTTTTAGAAAATGTTAAATATGTCAAAAACCTTTCGTTTTAGCCTTTGTTTTAGTCATATACTTCTCTAATAAATCTCACCTTGATTCTCTCCCAGAATCCAAAAATCAATTAATATATAGGGTGTTCAATTACAAAAAACACAACTTTGATATGTAACTTTTTTTGGGGACACCCTGGAGAGCTCTCTATATTTTTAAAAAGTGCTCGTAATTAACCTACATATGCTCACAAAATTACATTTCAATACAAACTGTCGTTCTCCCTGGAGCCTCCACGTCGTATGAGAGGGGCCACCCTGTACAATATTTTATAAAATCACACATAATTATTACACTGTCAAATTCTTTGAAAAAATAAAATCTTTGATAAAGAAATTTGACAGTGTAATATTGGCCCAATATTGTCAATTTTTTCTTAAAATATCTTTTATAAAAGATCGTTGACAAAAAATTTTTATAGTGTAATAGTGGCCTAAAGCTGTCAACAAAAGGTTCTCAAAAACGCCTCGTGTAATTGACGGATGTCTGCTTAGCTGGGATGTTATTATCGATAGGGTAAAATCAAGCAATTCCAATTTTTACCTAAAAAGAATGATGCTTTGGGCGACCAGCCAACATCTCTAATGCGTGTGTTGTGTGTATTACAAAACGAACAATAAACACAAAATGCGTTAGTCGGAGATGGATCATTTGGAAATAAAAGTCGATTTGAATTGACTTGGATTTATTTTGATCGGGACTAGTGCCCATAATTTTTCGGATAATCGCAACGGGTGGCCAACAGATACTAATTTTATTATTATTTGTATATTTGTTTTTTGTGCTTTTTTGTTTTGTGAATGCTTTGTCGATGAAACTGTTTTGGCTTTTTGTACAATAAAGCGTTTTTTTTTTAAATATCTTCAATATTAGACACTAAACAATCAATTATACCGGGTGCGTCTCAAAAGTGGCTCACCCCTATAACTTTTTTATTTTTTCACATACCTACACGAGATTTGATGTGTTATTCAATTGTATGACCTATTCAATTGTATTTGGTCACTTCCTGTTTCACCGGAAATGACTACAACTTTTGTTTTTAAATGACACTCTGAATAGAATGACATCATTGTCAACTTTTAATATTTTTGCTTTAAAAAAAATCGTATTTTAAATTTCAATCTAGAGTGTCATGGCTGTGTTAAAAACACTAATTTTTAATCAAGGAGTCTTGGAAAAATAGATTTGATCGTCTAATGTTTTTCGTGTCTTATCCTGTACACTACACGAGACTAAGTAAATAAACTAATTTAAATAATCTCTTTATTATTCTTAATAGAATATTAGATACTCTCAAATAATTTGAACTGTTGGCCACCCTGTTAAAGTAACTCTAAGATATTTTACAAATACAAATTAAAGATAAATATATAAAAACGTTACTACTAGAAGGTACTAAAATAATACTACTAAGTGAGAAAATAAATCACTAACAGGTACTTGTTAAAATTGATTTGATATACATAAAAAATCCGGGTTAATCAAAAAATAACATTTTCTTTCATAAAAAAATCAATTTAATATCTAAAAATAACTTTTTCCTTTTAAGGTTTCTAGTGTTCTATTTGAATGAACAGCTATTAAATGGATTTGAACAAAAACGATGGATTAAGCTATTTCTTTAATTGTATTAGAATTGAAAACGAGAAAAAATAAACCATTTTCTATCATATAATTTACTAATTTTAAAACATAATTAAAAATATCATTTGGAAATTAAAAAAAATGTATTTCATTTTGAAAATCCCTGTAATATCAAGTTTACATTATTACTAGGAACTGTAAGGTTCCTTAACATTAATATTAGAATATCGTACGATCGAAAAAAACGGTGTCACAGTGACCTTTGAAATGAGAGGTGACAAAAATATGAATTTTACTTTTCTCTAAATTAAATATTATTTTTTTATATTTTTTTCACTGTCATTTGGGGGCTATTGTGACGCTGTTTTTTTGTCGTACGATAAATTATTATATATGAGTTATTGTGTATACGTGTACATACTGAGTGTATAGGGTGTTCCATTTTCATGTATTTTACAGGGTTTCTCGTTTCTGAGTAGAGGTACGAAGATGCGGTTTTCATATTACTATGCTATTTTTTATAAACTAAAGATGCTACACACAGATTTATCCTTGCCTTCTTAGTTCCTAAAATACAGGCTGAATTTAAAAATATTGCAAACGATGGAAAGCAAAATTATCTAGTTAAATTAAATTAAATATACTCTTAAACTAGTTGATTTAAATAATTTCAGTAATTTTCATTGAGTTAAATAATGCATTTTTACCTTACTTATGAAAATAAGTAATAGAATATGTTATAGTATAGAGTATATTATATTTTAGAAAAGGCTCATAACAAGGTAAATAAAATAAATACTATATAAGCTATTTAAAAAAAAACATTACCTCTCATTTCAAAGGTCTAAAACATTAGTTTAGGTCATATTACAATACTAACAACTCCGAGCGAAAAACTAGTTACGCCACTGGATTCTGGGTGAAAAACTCTACGGGAGACGACAGTTTTTCCCTTTGCGATAAGTTATAAGATAACTAAGATACGAAAGGGGTCGAAAAATACACCACTTTAAAATTCGCCGTGGATTATTTAAGGAATTAAAAGGGTTAGAAAGTTAGAACATGTCTGTGTGTAGCAACTCCAGTTTCATAAAAAAGTAGAGAAAAAAAAAGAGAAAACCGCATCTTTATATATCTCTGAAAAACGAGAAGCCCCATAAAACACACGAAAACGGCACATCCTGTACAAAGTGGACCTTGGGAAAAATGTTTCGCTTTTAACATTAATAGGCACATAGAAAAAAATATCAAAAATAATTCTTCTGTATGATTCAAAGCAAAAAATTACGAAAAATAATTTGTCAATAATATATTTCTTAATACCAGTGTTAAAAACTTTTGGCAATATTTTTATCATATGATATATTATCGATTTTAAATTACTAAAATGTGGAACACCCTGTATATTATAATATCCTTAATCCCAAGATCACACTTAGTCATGCACTATTGCAGATGCCATTTTACGTCTGCTATATGTATTTTATTTATTTATTTTCCTACATTATATACTATTATAATACTAAATTCGACTAAAGGTATCTCTATACGCGAACACTTGTCGGCGTAATCACGTCAGACATGTACGCGTAGGTCCGCGAGAAAAAATTGGTATTTTATATCACAGATAAGGTTTATCAGACTAGATACACACATTGGATAGAGGAGATTAATTATTAGTACTGAGTAATTGCTGGTCAAATATCATATTTGATGGTACAGATATTATTATAACCTAGTTCGTATCTAGGGTATTTTGAAGAAATTGTTCTAAATATCTAAAGGTATTTACGAGTAAATTCTAACAGCGTTTTGTAGTGGTAAAAATTTAAACGTCAAATATTATACGAGTATTACTATTATAATATCATCATTTTTTTTTGTCATTTCCAAGTTTTGATTGACAATCAATAAACTTTGTTCCTACGACATTAAAAGCGTCAAAGTAAAAAATTTCACCCGTATAAAAGGCTATTAATTTTGTCCTTTTTCAACTCTATAAAGGATAGAATAAACAAATCTCTACTTAAACATTTTCCTTCGAATATGCCTCTCGTTTGGTAACTTCTACCAAAACAGGATAATGAATATTATCGTTATACTCGCACTGATCCAAAAGCTCCAATCTCCTTTCCCATACAACATCGTCGTATCTCATTATTTTACGACAAATTAACCCTCTATTCTCAGACTGAATCATAAAACTATCCAACGTCGAACCTCTCTGAGGCGCCATAACCAATCCTAACCCTTCCGGAGCCAAGTATTCGTACAAACATTCGACAAAATCTCGCCGAGCATCATCGAAAAACAAACAATCAGCCGAAACAATCACATCGTAAAGCCTCCTCGATCCCCTGGGCTCTCCCCATTTCAAAATGGCGCAGTCTGTAGGACAAGAGAACTCGTTACACTGCAGAATGGCTCTGACGTTATCAACTGACGTTTTGTTGCCGTCAGAAACCAGCACCGTCTTAGGAGAGGCGTATTTTGCTACGAACAACCCCGCGAGACAGGACATGCCTCCTCCTAGCTCTAGAACGTTCCTGTTCTTGAAGATATCCAGGTTAGAGCATGCGTAGTAGCTGAGGGTCTCTTCCGAGGGCCAGATGCACACGTTGCCGGTGTTGTTGAAGCCCATTAGGTCTTCGGCGCTGAAAGTTCGGGTTCGATGGCTGATGTTGAGACTGAAAGCGTTCTGGCCGACTGAGAGCGAGTACTCGAACCAGGCTCGTTTCGAGAGAAGCTCGCTGACTAGGGGGGAAGGCGGAGCAGGGAGTTCTCGTGTCTTCAACAACATGAATGAGGAGATTCGACGAACGGACACGTCGTCTGTGGGGCTTGAAGGCTGGCTGCCTGAAGGGCTCTAGAAAGGGCAAAAAGAAAAAATATGTATTTATAGCGCGCTTTATAGAACTTTATATAACGCGCTTTATAGAACTTGAATACTGCCACCGCGTAAAAAAGAGTAGGTAAAATTTTGCCATTAATATTCATGCTAAATTTATTTCAAATAATACAACATGTCATATTCTCCTGTGCCATATACCATACGATCGAAAAAAAAAACGGCGTCAAAACGGACAATTGAGAAATTATAATCGATGATAATTTTGGCGAGGTCGAGCCCTAGACATCATTTACTAATTATGGAAGGATTAAAAAAGGATAAATACGTTTCCAGACACACAAATCTACTTCCAAAAAAATATTTTTTTTCTCGATTTTCAACTGGTAGTAAGCGCCATTAAAAATCACAGGCCGACATGATTTTTGTAACACGAGTCAGTTGCAGAATTTCTTCATAAAAATATGCTTCTAATAACAGAAAAAATACTCCTGAAGCTCCTACACGTACCACTTTTCAGTTGCCTAATTACGCCTCTTTTTTGCAGGTAGTCAATTTTATAGATGTCAGGTATTAAGTCTAGGTAGATTCGTTTACATACAGGTAAATTTTATGATGGGATGATTGAAAGGGACGCATTTTGTGCACTATAATATATTGTGAAAACATAAGAGAGTTCAGTTTTCAGTTGATTTTCGACGTGAGTTGTTCTATGCGTGTAGATAAATAGTACGAAAATGTCAAGTCAAACGCGCCGCAGTTGTAAAGTGTCTCCTGATCGATTTTGTTACATTTGTGGAGAATTTATGGTGCAATCACAAGCCAGACCATTTTCTGAAAATGTGAAGAAAGCCTACTTCAAGTATTTTGGAGTTTTGGTTGGAGATCAAGACAAGCAGTGGGCTCCTCATGTGTGCTGCGTTACTTGTAGCGTGTCGCTTGTGCAGTGGATGAAAGGGAAGAGGAAAAAATGCCATTTGCGGTTCCAATGGTATGGCGAGAACCAACTAACCATTTTGACGATTGCTATTTTTGCCTGACGAAAACTGAAGGTTTTTCCAAAAAACAAAAGCACAAGATCGAGTATCCCAATTTGCCGTCTGCCATACGACCTGTTCTTCATGGTGCAGATCTCCCAGTGCCGATCGCGCCCTTAGACTGGCAAGGTATTGTTTTGGAAGATAAGGAAGATATTGAATCAAACAGCTCTGGAGACCAGTGTACTGATCCTACCTTTACCCCAGAGGGCGGTTCCGACAAGCCACATTTGATTGTTCAAAGCGAGTTGAATGACTTAGTGCGTGACTTGGGGTTATCAAAGCAGCAGTCAGAACTTCTTGGATCCCGGCTTAAGGAATGGAATCTGTTAGCCAATGAAACAAAAATCACCACTTTTAGAAAAAGAAATGCTCCGTTCTCTGCATTCTACAGTATGGAGGATTCGTTGTGTGCATGTACTGATATCGATGGCTTAATGCAGGAACTTTCTATAGAACATTCTCCCTGTGAGTGGCGCTTATTCATAGATTCGTCGAAATATAGCCTAAAAGCTGTGTTATTGCATAACGGAAATTTAAAACCCTCTATACCAGTTGCCCATTCAGTGACAATGAAGGAAACTTATGAAAATATGCGCATGCTTTTAGATAGAATCAACTACAACAGGTATAAATGGCAGATATGTGGGGACTTGAAAGTTATAGGAATTTTAGTGGGACTTCAGGGAGGATTTACAAAATATTGCTGTTTTCTTTGTTTGTGGGACAGTCGTGCAGTAAATCATCATTATGTACAGAAAATTTGGCCAGAAAGAAGTGAATTTCAACCGGGTTCCCAAAATGTCAAGTATATCCCTCTTGTAGACCCCAAAGACGTCCTCCTGCCTCCTCTTCATATCAAACTTGGCCTCATGAAAAACTTCGTGAAAGCTATGAATAAAGAAGGTGATGGATTTAAATACCTAAGGCAAGTCTTTCCCCAGTTGAGTGATGCCAAATTGAAAGAGGGTATTTTTATTGGACCACAAATCAGGAAATTGTTGGACGACACAAATTTCACAGACACGCTTACCAGGCAGGAACTCAGAGCATGGACCTCATTTGTTAGTGTAGTGAGGGGATTTTTGGGAAACAATAAGGATGCGAACTACGAACAATTGGTTAATGAGCTTTTAGATGCTTATAAATCGCTTGGTGCCCGAATGTCTTTAAAAATTCACTTTCTCCATTCTCATTTGTCATTTTTCCCTGAAAATATGGGTGCTGTCAGTGATGAGCAAGGTGAGAGATTCCATCAAGACATAAGGACAATGGAAATTCGTTATCAAGGACGATGGGATCCAGCCATGATGGGTGATTACTGTTGGTTTTTGAAGAGAGAAGACGCGGTCCCTCATAAAAGGAAAAAGTAAAAGTTTTTGTTTATGTTTTGATCTCGTTTCGATTGTTTTTGTACTTTTTAGGTATAAGTAATGTTTGAGGAGTGTAAACTATAAAATATAATCGGTATATAGGCTTAAGAAGTTCTTAAATCATGTTTTGAATAGCTATCTTAATATATTGAATATTGTAATATTGAATGATGTTTTATTAATGTAACAAAAAAACCTTACGTGTTACGACTTTTTTTTGCCACTTTCGTGATTAGATAGGTTCATTCTACCACAATATCCTATTGAGCTTTGTGTTACATCGAAAAAATTTTTTTTTGTCGGCCTGTGAAATTAAAGAAGAGTGCGGACCAAGTAATGACGTCTAGGGTTTGAACTCGCTAAAATTATCATCGGTGTCATTCCCCAGCCGTGTTTGACGCCGCTTTTTTTCGATCGTCTGCTTGACTTTTATATCCCAATCTATTATATAACTTCTGAGGGCACTGAATAAACAAATAAAAATCCAGGTCCGTATTTAAATTAAGAACCTTGCTGTTATATATGAAGGATAAAAATTTACAATAGCAAAGTAGAAATTGTTATTAATCTACCAATCCAAAAATTAAAAACCTTGTTAATTGTCAATTTCTTGTTTTTTCCGAAAAAAGTATTTAACTTCAGTTGTAAAACTACATGAATTAAAAAACTGGACATGAAAATCTTAATATTTTAATTACATTTCTTTTCCTTTTATAATAAAAAAAAAATTTGCAAACAATAGGAAAAAAAATAATTTAATTTTACGTTTCATTAAACATTTCGCATATACCTAGTGACGTAACCATCCGTACGGACATTAAACGAATTAAACTGAAAAATTGATCGTTTGATCTTAATTTTTAATCGTCAAATGCTACACAATAAAATTAGTCTGGAGAGAATAGCCATTGGCGCGCTTGGCCGTAAGCTTTGGCCGATTCCCAGATCATTACAACAATTATCAACCGGTTTAATATAGGTACAAAACGTACGTCACACGATAATACTCCGCTATACTGAGTGTTTTTAAGAAATAGAATATTATTAACATGTTCATTAAAATTTCAACTTTTCAAAACTCCATTTAATTCTTGACAAAATTTGTTTTTTCCAAGTACTTTTTTACATTTATAAATGGACCACCCTGTAGCATCAAACACCGGGTGTTTTTCAAAAGTGGCTCACAGGTGTGGTAAATCAGGACTTATTGACGTATTCAATTATTTTCGATCACTTCATATTTCACCGGGAATGACTACAACAACGATGCTTTTTTATTATTAAATGGTATCCTCTGTATTTTTTTACTTTTTTTCGATAGAAAATGACATTCTAAATAGAATGACATCTCAAATGCCAACTTTTGTTGCGTTTTCATTTAAAAAAATAGTATTTAAAAATTTAAATCTAGAGTACCGTGGCTGGGTTCAGGACGACAATTTGACTTGGAACACTATAAGTATGTGGCACCAAATCGTTCGCAAAAAAAATCAACAGTTGTAGTCATTTCCGGTGAAACAGGAAGTGACCGAAACTAATTGAATACGTCTATCAATCCTGATATACATATGAAAAAATAAAAAAGTTATAAGGATGAGCCTGACTTTTGAAAGACGTTCGGTATATCAGAAGTTTCAGTGGTGACAGTATACGACCAAAAACAGTTCCAATAATATTAAAACCGAGATTAAAACAGAGCATAAAACAAATTATTAATGGTAATACAATTTCTCTATTAAAAATTATCTTTTTCAATATCTGCTTTTCTTCATCTGAATTTCAATTACAAAAAAATCCAGATACACTAACTACACTAAAAGGGAGAACCAAAAAAAGTAACAGAAGAAAAATTAAAACGATCGAAAAAATTCTATTACTAAGGAATAAAATGCGAAAATTAATAAAAACAAGAACGGTAAAGGCCCCAATACACTTCGGTTATTTTGTAAGGTTTTAACCTTGGTTTTAAACGCACGGGCAGAAGTGTTCAATTAAAAACGTCAGTGTATGTGAGTGTTCGGTCCAATTTTAATCAAGCCAGTCAGTGGCGCGAGCAATTCTCTGTTATTTATATTGTATGTCCCAGGATTGTCTTTACAAGAGGAAAAACTTTTTTATTATTGACATTTTTCGTAAAAAAGTTTTGCTTGTTCTAAAATGGTTAATCCCGTTTATACTTTTCCATATTTCCATACCGTTTTAAAGAAACTTAAAAAACACATGAAAATATGGTTGAATGTTTTCAAAGTCCCAAAATCAGAAGTCATTTCTATAGTAAAATAATTTCGGTTGTTTTCACAAATAAAAAAAGATCATTTTTGAGAGAAGCTCATTTAATAAATTAATATGCGAAAATTGTTTCAGCTTAGGTAGCCACTTGTACAACATTTTATTCTGTTTTGGGGTTTCCTTTTTTACAGAAATTAGTACCGCCACTGTTAGTAAGTTCTTTCTCTAATTTGTCGTTCTTGTCTTATGACGCGTATAAAATCTTTAATAAACTCGACAAAATGAGACAGTGTATGGACTTTTTAACTGCACGGTTAAAACCGAGCAAAATATCCGAAGTGTATGGGTGACTTAAGGAAGACTTTCAGATACCTTGAGTGCTTTGGCTAATATAGCCCATCGTCTTCGAGCAGTTCTTTTCTTGTCGCTGCCTTTCCCCACAAACGCAACTTCGTCAAGATCTATTCTATAACTATTCCGACTTAATTCTAAAATATCTTTAGATTGGTCCATAGAGTTCGCATAGTCTAACTGGGAAGTTCTAGCGATTTGGCCCTCTGCAACCCCAAGAATCAAACAAATCAACGTTTTTTTTTCGGCTTATCGTCAATCAAAACTGATCAAAACTCAAAAAAAGCGACCACCATTCACTCTCACGTTCTCATTCTCAACCTAGTGCGAGTACCAAAAAAAAACAACAAAAACAAACTAACTTACGTCTGAAATGGGACAGAGACAAATCGGAAAACACAATTCGCGTCGCACTATCGGAAAATGAACAAGATTTCCGCGGGAAATGCCGAGCGTGCGTGATCATTTTCTGAGGGACACAATAGGGGGGCTAAAAATAAACTGGGGTAACTTTATCACCGGTTAACGTCTAAGCTCTCCACTTGTTTTACAGAGATTTGTTTATTCTAACCTATTTCGAAATACCTTTAAATTTAAGAACACTAAATAAATAAACAAAAACCTATTATAACATAAATAAAAACAAAATTATAATAATTAAATTATCAAAGTATAATTATATGGATTGTGTTTTTTATGGTAAGTATATGAAATTAATATCTGTTTCTCTAATATTTGTACTTACATTTTTATCCCTGATTTATAGAAATTTGTCACACACACAAAACACCTATATTCATTAATATTCTACAAATAAATAATTAAAACAGATTAAAAATTAAAAAATTATCAGCTGTTTTGAAATGTTTAATTAACTGTCACCTATTGTCACTGTCAAAAATTGACAAAATTAGTTTCTGTTTTATCCGCAAGATGGCGGCACTTTCATTCTTCTTTTATTTTATTTAACTCTAAGCGATCCATTCTTCACTGGCCGTATACCAATAAGAAGAAGAAACATTTATTCTTCTTTTTTCTAATAATTACTAAAATGTATAATCTATGGGTATAATTAATACATATTTTCTGTGGATTGATCCTATTTTGACTTTGACAGAAAAACCATAAAAACCAGTGATTTTTTAGATTATTTGTTTTTCGAATATTTCGTGTATAAGTTCTAAGAAAAAACAAACAAATAAGTTGTAGTTTTAAGGAAATGTTCTTCGTATTCGATTTTGTAAAATTCGGAGGCGCAATTTAATTTGGAACACGATCTAAATGCCAAGGAAACTGTGATTTGTTAAATCATGCTTAGTTCCGTTTCATAAACAAATACCACCCCTCCAGGTATAAGGTCTAAATACTGAATCTCCTGTTCTTGAAATCTGATAGGATTCAAGATTTTGTAATACTTTTGTGATAATTATTCTGCTGTGCATGGTTCTATCTACATTTAACATGTTTTGAACATGGAACAGGTAATGTAAAATAAAACTACAATTATTGTTTACTTTCACTAGTGATGTAATTCTAGACTGTTTTGAATAAATTTATGGAGCTTGAACCAAATTAGCAAAAATATTTATTTAACAGAGAGCCTCCCAAAATGGAACAAGACGGAATTGAGTGGCTAAACGATATATTAGTTGATGTTCAACTAAGTCAGTTTTTAGTTCCTTTACGAGATGATTTACAAGTAACTAGATTGGAACATTTCGATTATGTTAAACCAGAGGATCTGGAAAATATTGGTTTAAGCAAGCCAGGTAAATTTTTACATGCACATGATGTCATGTAGTATTTAATAATTCATAGCTGTGAATCTAATTCATGAATTATTGATACAGATTTTTTTTAATAAGAGAATAATCTTGTGATTAGCAACTATGCTATCTTTTATTAATTTTTAAGGTGCTAGAAGACTTTTGGAGGCAGTTAAAAAGAAAAGGGCTCAGCAGAAGAAAAAGAATTTGATTAATAAATTAATACCAGTAGCTAGTAAGACAAATACAAATAAAAAATTTGAAGATAGTTTTGCAATAAATAATTTCACATCGTGTCTGATTCAAGAAAGCAATATATCTTTGGGTATTAAGTTGGGAGATGGTAGTTTCGGTGTAGTTAAACGAGGTTAGTGAATTTGATTCATTTATCAGAGTCTGTCATCTTATTATTAATTGATATTGGTGAAATTTTATAGGAGAATGGACTAGTCCAACAGGAAAACTCATACCTGTAGCTGTCAAAGTTTTAAAAGCTGATGCTTTGAATCAACCAGGTGTTTTTGAAGACTTTATTAAAGAGGTACAGGCTATGCACTGTCTGAATCATCAAAATCTAATTAGGTAACGGAACAAACTCAAAAACAAGTATAGTGATATCAAAAATTGGCGTGCACATCATTGATGATTTACCAAATTAAATTTGTAATATATAAAAATGCAAATGGAATTGTTTGAAACTTACAGTGCACCTTTCCTTTTTCATATAATATATCCTGGTTAAAAAAAGGATTTGGTAAAATGTTGCCAGTTGTCATGAGATTTTTATTTGCAGATCTGATATTTGTTTTGATTTTATTATTTTTTTTCTAATCTGACATTTATCATTTTCAATTCTAAGTTTTCTTTGACAAGTTTGAAATTAAATTTGCCTACTGTTTAGTTGCAACTGCAATTTTCATTATAATTAAATGCCAAAACTATTAAATAGTCGCAATCAGCAACTTATCTTGTCTCTACTCAATTATTTTGAACAAGGAAGAGATCATGGCGATCCCCTTTTGCCTTTAAACAACGTTAGAAAGGTAAAAATTGATATTGTTGCTTAAATATTGTGACTTTTATTGAAAATATATAGATGTGTCAGTGTGTTTCAGCTGCATTCAATATCAGTTTACAGACTGTGAGTAGAATCTTACAAAAAGTGAAGACTATTCTTCAGAAAACTTGCTAATAACTTGATTTAATTAGAATTTGTTTGTATAATAATCATAGATAAAGTAATGTAGACATAAAAAAAATATTTACATATTTAAAATTGATTTGAAAATCTGTGACAAAATTATTATTTGACATTCGTTAAAAGTCAAAATAAGAAAAGTAGCCGTGGCAGCATTGCGACGTGCATTCGTCAGATGTTTTGATGACGCGCACGCCAACTTCTATTGATGTTCCTTTATTTCTGGTAATTATATGTGATGTTTTCTATAGATTGTATGGAGTGGTTCTTTCTCAACCAATGATGATGGTTACAGAGCTGGCCCCTTTGGGTTCTTTACTGGATTTTTTAAGAAAACAGTGCCAGCACACTCCTGTATCTATGTTGTGCGAGTACGCCACCCAAGTAGCTCATGGAATGGCTTATTTAGAAAGCAAACGGTTTCTGCATAGGGATCTGGCTTGCAGAAATGTATTGCTGGCTGCTGTTGATAAGGTTTGTTATAAAAAACAAATTTGTACTGTTTTTATGAGGGAAATCTTAGGTAAAAATTGGAGATTTTGGTCTGATGAGAGCTCTACCTCAAGAGGACGATTGCTACGTCATGACGGAGCATAAGAAAGTTCCATTTCCTTGGTGTGCACCGGAATCTTTAAGGTACAGGCAGTTTTCTCATGCGTCTGATACGTGGATGTTTGGCGTTACTGTATGGGAAATGTTTACCTTTGGAGAGGATCCTTGGGTCGGGTTGATTGGTAAGTATTTAACAAAGATCCTGACAATGTCCATTATGTTTTGAATTTTTATTTAATTTAACTATCACAATAGAGAAACGACAGTTAGTCAGTTAGCTTCGACTTTATGTGTCAATTTTTGATTTTGAAGTCACAAATTTTCACAATTAAACTTATACACTGAGAAATGACTAGAATATTAATGAAAGAAATATTTAACTATACTGAGGAATATTATTTATTTATATAACTGTTATTTTATTGTGTTATTTTTTACTGAATTTAGTAAATATTATTGGCGCCTCACGTTGGGCGCCAATATTATAATATAGTTCTTTTTTGTCTGTAGTATTTTATTTAATAAAATTACCATAACACAGCGTTTTTTTGTCCTAAAGGTTCAGAAATATTGAAGAAGATCGACAAAGAAGGCGAGAGATTAGCTCAACCTGATGCCTGTCCTCCAGCAATATATGCCATATTGTTGCAGTGTTGGGCGAAAAACCCTCAGGAGCGACCCACTTTTGCCGCCTTGAAGGAGTTCTTTAGGAAAAATGTCACGCCCATTATGAAAGCTTTAGGTATTTTCATATAAGTGTTTTTTTTTTTAAATTACGTTCTCTTAATTCATTTTTATTTTTCACAGATAAACAAAACGAACTTGACAAATTGAAAGTTAATGAAGGTGACGAAATTGCAATAATTGATGGTAGTGCGGAATTGTATTGGTGGAAGGGACAGAATCAAAGAACGTTTGACATAGGTCTTTTTCCAAGGTAGGTACCACAGATAAATATTTATAATAATTGTAAAATATATTTTACAATTTCACTTTACAAAGGCGCCACCTAGTGCCTTTAGGAAGGAAGTACTTTAGGAACATCGGGACTTTTAAAAATTAAAAATATATTATTAAGGAGTAAAAGTGTTTCATTAGTAATTTTATTAATAATTATTAGTAATTTATTTATATTTTGATAAAAGTTTCGCCTACGCCTATAGTGAAAATAAACGGTATTTTAAAAAAAACATTAAATAACGTTTCTATAGATGTTTGGTGGATCCCATGAGACGCAAACAAGCGGAAGACATCAGCAAACCCCTTGATCATTCTTTTATCCACACCGGACACGGATCGGCTTTCGGAGAAAGTTGGGGATCTCCTTCGTACATCGACGATATGTACCTGAAAAATCCGATGGATCCTCCCGATTTGATGGGCCTAAAAAGACGTCCCAAGCCCTCGCCACAGCTTTGCGATCGAAGGAAATCCTCCACGAAAAGCTGTAGGTTTTTTTCTGTTAAATTTCTTTGATTTGTTTTTTTTTCAGTAAAGTTTTGGTTTTTATTTTGGAGAAATAGCAATTAAATGTAAGGAATATAAAGGAGTTTGGGCTACTTTAAGGGGGTCAATTCGAAGAAATAGTGAGTACAAAAGGAAAAAATCTGTCTTGTTTTTTGTTAGTGAAATAACGTAAAACAATTGTTGGGTTTGTCTTAAAAATGTGTCTTTCTCGCTTTTGTTTTATTTTGTTTAGCTTAGAATTGTCCAATTCTGTGATAAAAACTGTCTTCTTTATGATTAAAACGCAATAAAAAGTGTCAAACTAGCCTTTGAAATGTCACTCATTGAAAATTTCTGTCGGGCGGATTTTTATAATGGTTTTCCTTTTTTTTATTAAATATTAACTTTTGGTACCTTCTTATGTCAATCTTTAATTACGAAAATTTGTCATTTCATAGGCCACTGCGATGTCGCATTTTTTTTTTCATTATATGCAGTGGCGTATCTTATTTTATAGAGCGTTAAGTTATTTAATAGTATGACAATTAAATTACTTAATAGTAGGACTATGTAATAGTATAACAGAACAACTGATTGATTAAACGTTGTTTATGATCAAAATTAGATACAAATTTGAATGAAAGAAAAGAATTATTAAAAGTTTACTATTATCTGTTTCTTGATTTATTTTAAGAACCACTATTAAATTCTTTATTTATTAGGAAAACTTAACAGCCTACCGCTATTTGAAAATATTAGAAGCTATCGTAGCGGAACTTTTAGAGGATATTAAGATATAAGATGGGACTCTCGCTCACAATTTTGAAAATATTATTACATATTACCAATGAATTGCTACACAGGGCTCGCTATGCCCCTGATTTATTCCTAAAAAGAATATACAAAAATAACCTTGTTAAAAATGAAAAGCCTTAGTTATCTAAGATAATATTTTTAGTGAATGGTTCCCTTCGTCATTCGTCCTCCGAGAAGCAGTTTCACTATAAAAAGCTGAAGAATCAAGAAAGTTTTAAGTGCAAACCTCAACGACCTCCACAGCCTGACTTTGACACTGCCAGGGAATCGATTTTGATCGACGTCTCGCCTACCGATTCCAAAGTAGTTTTACGCAAGACAAGTGATAAATCGGAAACCAGAAATGCCATCAGTCTTTTGGACGAACCAATCGACGTACCACAAGAATTTCCAGCAAACGGTAAGTTCTTGTAGAATGTTTACGAGGGTTAATCACCGCAACCTTGCAGATCTATGGTGTGTTCCCCTTTTTTGAGTTATAACGAGTTATAACTCATCATACAGCCTCAGGGCTTTGACAAAAGCCAGTATCTAAGACGGCTCCACGGAGGTTAGCTCTCCATCTCCGTTTTTGTATTGTTACATATTCCGTTGGTCCTTAACTTAAAATACACTATAAAACACTTAAACTAATTTATTATACTATTATTATTACTAGAAAAAAGTGTCACATTAGCCTTTGTTAATATATAATACACCAATAATTAAAACAACGCTTTGTAACTTGATTTACTTCGCGCGCTTCCGCTTTTTAATTACCCTAGCAGATATTTCTCCCACTTTCCATTCTAAACTAGGGAATTCTTCTTTCCTCGTAACTAGGGAACTCGAACGCGTCAGATTAAGGCAACGTGACTTAATTACAGGCAGAAAAATGTACATTTAAAGAATCTGACGATTTAAGCGCCAACTAAGCAAATGGGAGTGTCACAAAGTTGCAAACAATCCGCGTTCAGATCGTCAGTCTTTCGAATAGGAGCTTCTTTTTAGGGTTCATTTAATATCCCTTTTGAATATTTGACGCATTCGAATAATTTTTTCTCATTTCTACCCCTTTATACGCCCACCCCCACCATGCAAACTGGCAGATTAATATCCCTGCGTTGTCAAAAACACGTGGGGTGCATGCATTATTAATATCTGGAGAAAAAGTCACAAACCCTCTTTTTTACAGGTGAATCTGCTTGGACTAAGGACCGATCAAGTACCCAAACCGTACCTCCCCTATATCAACATCCCCCATCATATTACAACACCTCCATCATAGAACAGGAACCCGATCCTTTCGACACCTCAAACATTCTCTCTCTATACTCTAGCGTCTCTCCCACACCCTCAAATCACAACTATCATCACAGCAACGAGCTCCAAAACGAGATAATGGACAAAATCAAACTGTACAGTGGTGTCAAAAGTACAACGTCGTCCCCACAGACGCAGTTCGTCCAAGGAGACATCGCCAACCGCGATTCACACGTTGCCAGATCGAAAACGGTGACGTCACCGAAAAAGGGCGTGGCCACGGAGGTAAACGCAGAGATTTTGGCGGCAGTGGCCTCGAATTTGACGTCGATGAAGTTGAATGACGTTAAAGCTGCTGGTACGAGTAGTTTGAATAATAGTAGTTCAAATGTACCGCATACTTCACCTTTGACAGCCGAGCCTACTCTTGTACCTGTTGTTTCGAATGTTGGATCTGTGCCTGTGCTGCCTAAAATTCAAAATGGTAAGTACCCGGAACCATTATTAGATTAGGTTATTATTATTACTATTGTGGTCCTTTTCTGAGCCTTAGGTTACATTCTCCAGTCTTATCGTTTTCATAAAGTCTAGTAACTTGGAGACTGAACCCTCCATATAGCTCTTTGTCAATGACCTATCATTGCCTAGTACAAAGAACTGCACATTTTCCAGGCTATCACACCGACATAAAAAGTGTTGTGTCGTTTCTTCTTCAGAAAGACAAAACCTGCACATTGCACATGGCGTCATCCGTCAACCTATCAGCTCTAAATGCTTATTGAGCTTGCCCTGTTAGTAGCTTTGGCTGTCTTTCTATCTTTTCCGCTAATAATACATTGTCAGACGTTGTCAAATCTAAAAAAAAAAGGTTATAATAAGTCTGTGATCAAATCAAACTGTTTGTTTACATTTTGCTTGTATATGTTGAGTCAAGTCAAATTCGTGTATATGGTTGGTCTATCTATATTTTACACACTGTTTTAGGTACATATTCTAATCTAAGCGACCTCTACGCGAAGACTAGTGATTATTCGAAGAATTCCAACACAAACGTCGTTCAAAAGAATGACACAAAGTCTGTTATCAATAAGATGTGGCTGGATACTAACGTTAACAACGTCAACGGAAACTCGAACCAATATAGATACGTAGTGAATTCGGAATTTGGAGAGTTCAAAAGCAACAGGAGATACGATCCAGTCTATCAATCTACAGGTAATTTTTTTATCGCTAAATAAGAATTTATATAGGTTAACTACGGGGCTATCCACAATGAATTAACAGAGGGGTAAAGTTGAAAAATGCGAAATAAAACTATTAAAAATAGGTACATATATGACATATTTAATAATAGTTGATGAGGAATAAAATATAACAGAAAAAATAATATATAGAGCGTTATTTCAAAAAAATTGAGAATTTTCTAACCTGACCTAACCAACATGTAACTCAAATATCTTTATATTTATTATTCTTTTCATCTCTGTAAAACTCTCCTACCAAATTTGAGTACTCCAACTTCAGAAAGTGGGACAAACTAAAATAAAAGCACTATACATTTTTAAAATTTTTATTTATTTCAGCTTCTCATTTATACGACACTCCCAGCGCGTTCTACGAGAGTACACTGACTTACAACAACCTTTCACAATCACAATCCACTTCTGTATACAATTCTGTATCGAATTTGGATACAAACACCGCTCAACAAACTTACAGCAATTACTACAACGCCCCAAACAACTATAACGACGAACTCTATCACGAGATATCGGAGAATTTCTACAGTCAAGTGCCTGAAGAAACTTTGAAGCCTCACAGGCCTGCGCCCACCAAACCAGGCGATTTGATGGGCCAGCCGCTTAGCATGCAACAGATACAGAGAAAAATACAACAAGGACAAGTAAGTCTAGTGACGTTAGATTAAGTTGCAACTACTACTACTGCAACTTAAAGACTCAACCTTCCATATAGCTATTTGTCAATGGCCTATCATTGCCTAGTACAAAGAACTACACGTTTGCCAGGCTGTTTGTGGATATAAAATGTGTTCTGTCGTTTCTTCTTCAGATTGACAAAACCCGCACATGTCTTCGTCTATCAGTCCCATTAGTTTTAGATGCCTATTCAGCTTACAGTACTCTGTTAGTAGACCCACTAGACTAGAGCTTTGATTGTCTTTCTGTCTTTGCTTATCAGATCTACCATGATAACCATCTTGGCCAATGATCTATTGCAAACTTTTTCGCCTCTCTCTTCTGTGGTGAATTTCTCCACCATTCTAGAGATTTGTTGGCTACCCACTGTATTGTAACCATTCTTGTGACTGCTTTTGCAGAACCGCAGAAGGGTTCCGGGCTTAGGAACGGCGTTGATAATGATACACAAAATAAGACAGACGGTCGATCAAGTCAGTGTCAAAGACAGAGACAATCAGATAATTGAATGTTGCTGATATGTTTTCAACAATAATGAAGCGATTTTTTTTTTACTTCTCCACGTATATTGTAAAATCTAAGGTCTAAACCCACTTTTTGCAGAGGTAAAGAGGATTTTTGTTATTTGCCACTGTAAAATTTGTCGCGCGAAATGTCAAAAAGATTGTTTTTGGTTTTATAAAAAAAAATGAAATGTTTTTTGTTAATTTCAGTTGAGCGCAGACGCAGAACGCTTGATGACTCCCGAATACAGGAATAGCAAAATAAGCCAAGTAAAACAATGCGTCCCAGATGCCGGACACGACGAATGCTTGTACGCGTTACAGCAAACGGGCTGGGACGTGGCTCAAGCCATTAAGGACATCAAAATTGATACTCTATTAAAGTAAGTATTCTTTATACAGAGTGATGATTTTTCTTCAGATGACATAACCAGGTTGGTAAACTACGGTAAGGGTCGGTTCCTAAAAAGTGTCGGTAAACTACGGAACGTTTTGATAAAATAATAGATTTTTTTTAAAATTTTAATATTCTTATTATTGAACTTTTATTTTACGCTTGATTCATCTTTTCAATTGAGTTTAATGTTGAAAAATACCATATGATCGAAAAAAACCGGCTGGGAAATGACAATCGATAATAATTTTGGCGAGGTCACGGCCTAGATGTCATTTACTTGGCCCGTACTCTTCTTTATTTCTTAATGGCGCTTACTGCCAATTGGCTTTAAGAAGGTTGTGGTTTATTTTTATATTCAGTAAAAGTGATTTTTAAATGGTGTAGTTTAAAATTCGAGAAAAAATAATTATTTAGAAATAGATTTGTGTGTCTGGAAACGTTCTATCTTCTTTTAATCTTTCTATAATTGGTTGTATGTCAATTTTTAGTAAACGACATGTAGAGATCAAAGAAACTGTCATTGTCTAGTATTTTCTCGCTGGACAGACTACATCTAGCTCTCTTCTTGTTACAGATTAGGCTTAGTGGATAGGCACGGTTGCGAGACAGCCTTGCAAAAAACGAATTGGAACGTTGAATTAGCTGCGTCGGCCATTCTTGACACTTGATTAGATATGTATGCCGATGTTTAGCAAATTTGATATGCCAATGCAACTAGTGATATTATTCTGGCTTCATTCCAAGTACACATCACTAATAGCTGTTTAGTTACGGTAAAACTGTTTTAATTTTTGTACAGACTCCGTATATCTTTATCGCCGAGAAATTTAGTTACTACATTTCTCGTAAATGTATTTCTTTTGTAATCTTTAACGCTAGTATTATATAGGGTGCACCAAAAAGTTTGCAACAAATGGGATTTTTTTGGAAATAATTGATTTTGTTAAAAATTCCTATATATGTATTTATGGAACTTGGTATTTTACAGGGTTTCTTGTTTATGAGCAGAGGTACAAAGATGCGGTTTTCTGTAACTAGTTTTTCGCTGGGCGTTATCAGTTTCGAAATGACTCAAACTTAGGTTTTTAACACCCTGTATATTATTTGTCTATTTAATTTGCCTTGTTATGAGCTTCCTAAAAATATATGTATTTTTATTTTCATATTTAAGACAATAAAAAATGCATTATTTACCTTTTTAACATAAATCTACCTAGTTTAAAAAAGTATTATTTTTTTTAATTTACTTATTTTAACCAGATAAATTAGCTTTCCATTGTGTTATCTTAATAAACTGCACTAAAAATGAAGTTGTGCTGCTTTTAAAAAACACGCTGTTAGAGTTATTGATATTTTTGATCTACTTGTATAATTTCGCAAACAGAAACTACTGGTGGAATAGCCAATAACCAAAATGTGACGTAGAATAAATCATTCAATTGTTTTTATTACCAAATTTAAACCGGCCGCCTATGTAAAAAGTTAAATAACGATTTTTTTCCTTGCTGTTTATGAAAATAAGTAGAGTACATTATATTTTTTGAAAGCTCATAATAAGACAAATAAAATAAAATGTAATTATTTAACATTTCAAATTAGCCCCGTATTTTTGAAAAAAGTAATACTAAAACTGCCATTTTTGTACCTCTACTGGATCCTCGTAAAACACGAAAATAGGGCACCCTGTAGGATCGAATTTTTTCTTACTGGATATACTGAAGTCAAACTGAAGTAATTCAGGGTATACTTTCTTTTCAATAAGTGATTTATTCCCGTTGTTTATGAATTGTATGGCTTACACTGTATTTTATATTCTAGTTTAAATTGTTTTTTTGATACGTGATTGTAGGAAAAAGAGTAGTCTCAAGCTGTTAATGGTTGTACTAGGAATAATGCTATTACTGGATAAGTTAAATAAAAAAATAGATATTTTCCATAACTTTATTCATGAAAAAGAGCAACTTATATCATCACAATGACGATACTCTACTTAGAGCTTAAAACATTTTTTGTGCCAAAGATTGTGTTTTGTTTTTGTATTACGTTGAATTATTTTATAAGTTTCAGCCCCTTTTGTTTAGTTTCACTTTAAGGTAATATTTCTAAAAACTTAGAAGAAATAAATAATGTGTTTAGAGAAAAACTGGAATACATAATTGTGTCAAAACAGTTTAGACTTATATGCCTCGTAATATTATAAATATTCCATATCTGCCTAGATTTAATAGGGTCCCTAGTAAGTATGACGTCACGCCATTGGGCGGAGATTGAGACAACCTCCGGCAGGGCAAGTTATACAGGGTGGCCCGAATTGTAATCGGGAAACTTCGGCAGAATATTCTGCGGTTAAAAATAATTAAAAAGTTCGTATAAATGTATGTCCTAAAATGCTTCGTTTCAGAAATACAGGGTGTAGAAGTTTAATTTTTATTTTCCAAATAATTTCTGAGCTGACGACGATATTTAATGTGATGAAAATTTGTGTCTGGGTGTTTTTTACCGTTTTGAAGAGTAACAACTTTTTGTCCGTATCTGTATAACAATTACACCTAATGAAAAAAAAATCATAATAATAAAAAATTTCTAGAAATTTTTTTAAAAAAATAAATTATTTCAAGAAAAATTTATCCTTAATTTTAAAATATAAAATGTTTCAAAATTTATACTTTCAGTGAAATAACCTATCTAAACAATATGCTTATTTTTTGTCAATTGACGACATGTATTGATTATTTCGATCAAATATCAAAGTTAGTTCAGAAATGATTTGGAAAAACCGAAATAAAAATAAAATTTTTACACGCTGTATCTCCGAAACGACTTATTTATATCCGAAGAGTATGTTATTATCTTAATATTAATATGTTATATAAATATATACCCGAGAATTTCATTTGCTCACAAGAAATTGGTTAAGGTTGCTAAGTTCTCCGCCCATTCACGTGACGTAACGACTTAAAGGCTATCTATCGGAATTAGTTTAATAAGAAAAACAGATCAATATATTTTTCTATAAAAAATAACTGTTTTTTTTCCTTATCAGATCACATTTTCCTTACAACTTCTAAACCAATATGTTTTTTTACGAAATCCACCTTCGTAACTTTAACCTCAATGACATCTCCTAACCGTATACTGATCCCTTTCATAAATCTGTTATGCAACAGGCCGTTATGGCCCACTCCCAAATCGACGAAGGCCCCGAATGACGTCACGTTATTCACTCGACCTGTCAACGTCATGTCAATTCTCAACTCCTCGAATGACGTGACGTCTCTGCGAAACAGGGGTCCGTTACTATTTTCTGACCGCAGGTCGTGGTTTAGTTTCTTTGATAACGCGTCAAAAATCAGCTGGATGTTCTCTGGGTCGGTTTTGTACGTGTCGGCCAGTGTTTTGGGATTTAGAGTTGAGCTTTTGGATTTGAAAGTCAATATGAAGTTGTCGCTGCCTACGTCTTGTTCTTTTAGGTCCATTTTGCCTGAAATTGTATGTAATGTGGTTAATTTAACAAATATGGTGTTTAAATTTGTTGTTAAAACAAGCTATTTAGTAGTTGTCAATAGGTTTGTTCCAACCCGCCGCAGAACCGTCACCGAACGATCACGCTCGTGCGCAGTAATTCAAACGTGTTCCAACCGAGATTTGACGATTATCGAACGATCCTATTTGCGTACCAACCTACCATGGGATCGTTTAGTTACGATTTCAGAACGGTAATTTCGGTACATGGTCCAAATTGAGAACTGTTTGGGTTGACTTGCGATTAAAGCATATTGGCATATATCATTTTTAACAGCTGATTCTGGTCCGGCGTCCGGATGATGCTTCTGTCTTGGGTTATTTTTTACGAATTCGAATACGTGTGTGTTATACTTTCGCTTGTGAGTTTGTGTGGAGTAAAGCTTGATTTTCATGCATCCGTTATCCGACGATACGATGGTACGATATTAATTTTATTGGTTGATTTTAAAGACTTCGATTGGTTAACCGTTTCTAACCAATCAAAGTCTTTCAATTCAACCAATAAAATTGATATCGAATCATCATATCATCGGACAACGTATGCATGAAAATCAAGCTTAAATCGTTCGGATATATTAATTAATTTTTTATTTATAAAATAATGTTCAAAGATTCTACCACTGCAATGAAATAACAGGAAACTACGCATAACAGGATCATAAAGAGAGGATAGGTAAGTGAGTTAGTGAGTATACAGTTAAAACAACACCAACAATTACTGGATTCTGATTCTCCATTTCAAGAATAATAATTATTATTATTGCAAATTGCAAACAAAAATAATAGGGTTATGTTATGAAATTCTAAACAAAAGCAAAAAACCGATCGATACACGCACGCTTGACACTTTTGACGGTCCTGAAAACAAAGCGTTCCAACGTTGATACTTTTTGCACCATCACAAAACTATTCGAAGTCCGCGCATGCTAACAAACTGCAAGAAAACCGATTCGAGTACGATTTGGAAACGATCCCGAAATGCTGGTTGGAACAAACCTAATAAGAATCCTAGCTGCCTCAACAACCACAGAATACCTCAGCTAAAAAGGCCGGCGTTTTATAACCATTTCAACATGTCAGTAAAATATCCGCCATTTTAACTCCAAAAATAATGGATAAACCAACTGCGGTACTCTATTACATTACAGGACTTTGGTTTTAGAAAAATCAATTAAAGTTGCCGTGCACGTAACATAAAAATGTTTGACGCATGCACGTCGTATTGTTGCCACGGCTACTTTTTTTCTTTGACTTTTGAAATTTGGCACTTTTCGTAATTTTCACTGATTTTTCACTTCAATTTTAGACAATACACATACAATTTTTTTATATTTACATTATTACATTGTCTATTATTAGCAAGTTTTCTGAATGAAAGCTGAAAAATGTACAGTTCTAATTGGATAACAGTAGTCACTTTTGTAAGATTCTACTCACAGTCCCTAAACTGATATTGCGCGCAGCTGTAACACGCTAACAGATCTATATATTTTCCATAAAAGCCAAAAAATTTAAGTAACAATATCATTTTTTACCTCTCTAACGCAGTTTAACAGCGAAAGGAGCTCGCCATGATATCATGCTTTTTCAAAATAATTGAGCAGAGACAAGATAAGTTGATGATTCGGACTACTTAGTGGTTTTGGAATTTTATTGCAATGATAATCGCAGTTTTAACTAAACGAAACGCAAATTTAATTTCAAATTTGTCAAAGAAAACTCTCTTGGTGATTAAAAAATAGCAAATGTCAGATTAGAAAAAATTAATAAAAATTAAAATAAATGACGAATATATCATGACAACCGGCAACATTTGCCATGACTACCAACGTAAAGCCGTTTTTATCAGTTAGTTCATTTACCTTGAGTCGTTTTTTTAACTATGATATAAGATTGTAATAAGAAGGTAAAAGTGCTGTCGTAAGTTTCCAACGAATTTTTATTTATTGGAAATTTAATTCGCTAATAGTTTCGATGTCTTTATAGGTGATTCTTTGACTACTTACCAATTAAACTTCTAACTATATGATACGACTCCGGATGTATAATAGTGGCATCCAGTGGCGTAGTCGATTTCTGCTTATAAAACGACTTATCCTCCCTGTCCAGTGGTCCGACTCGCAAAAATCCCGCGCATTGCTCAAATATCCTCTCCCCTATACCGTAAACTTGCAACAGTTGTCTTCTGTAACTGAACGGACCGTTTTTCTCTCTGTATAAGATTATTTGACTGGCTTTGCTGTCTGTCAAACCTGCCACACGCCTAGATTTTTTTTGAAAGAAATTATTTGTACGACTTCAATAATAGATAATTATTTTAATACAAACCTTAATAAACACTGCGAAGCTGTATTTAAATCTACTCCCACGAAACTGACACATTCTGAAACCACCTCACCCAAAGCTTCTTCGAGTTGTTTTTTCTTCAAATCTAGTTGGTACATGCCAACTCCCAGATGTGATGGTTCAACTTTAACCAATTCTGCCATTGGGTCTTGTATTCTTCTTGCTAACGAAACTATAAAGCAACATAGACATATATTTTTTTGACACAACTTCTACCGTGTTGGCAACTGTTACTTTTGGGTCGGTACTTACATGTGTGGAAGTAAATCCCATAGGGATCTTATTAAGTCGGAGTGAGAGAAATGCGACAGTGTGGTGTTGCGGCTTTTCCCTATCAAGTAAAGTAAAATCACGATCGCAAACCGCATATATACGTCAGTAATCGCGATAATTTAAAAACTCTACTTTTTAACACATAACACGCCATAACTTAAGAACCACTTTAGATATTGATTTTTTTTATTTTGAAGATCGGATCTTCTACAAGATATGTAAATAAGAAAAATTCGATTGGCTTATTTTTTTTTCATTCAAAAATTTAAAAAACCGTCCATTTAGTTTTTGTCCAAAGCAACTTTCAGCAATCATGTAACTTTTTTATTTATAAAGATTTTCACATACTGTGTGAAGAAAATATAGCAGAAATATTAAGAACGCGTTTGAAAAAACTACAATCAATTATTTCTAATGAATTTCGAGATATCGATTTTTGAATTCAGAGTTCTAATAGCGCGACCACTGTCGAACACCAACCCAATTCCGACCAATTTTTTACCAAAAATGCAAGTGTTTCTTACTTGCATTTCAACATTTTCAAGCTGTAGGGAAAATTACTACGACTCGCTATTAAATAAACAAATAGAGTATCACGAAACGTAATTAAATCGTGAAGCTGAGCACATTTCCCTAGAATTTTAAGTACTGACAGAGGTACTGATTGGGTCGACCGCGATAAGTCTGCTACATCCCCTTCCACGTCTCTTAGCAATGTGCACAGTTTCTCAGTTTATTTCATACGTTTGGCAACGTGTTTACTGTTCTCTCTTTGTTCAGTACATTATAAACGCATTGTACTCTTCTTGCATATGGAAATCTCGACCCAAAACTAACCTTTGCCAGCCCTTAGTATAAGTAGCTCAAATGAACCGGAAAAAATAAACAAATTTTTTAACCTGCACTAATAATGTTGGGGTCCAATTTTCCAAATTCTTTTTGTGCTTCGGGGCTGCAGCTGTATATGGAAGCACCATCTTCGTTAACAATGAGATAATTAATATCTAAGGGTCTGAAAAAATTATTTTTGATTAAACTCACTATCCACTCTTCGGTTTCTCGACAAGCAGTGCCGTTTCCTATTCCAATTATGTCACAACTAAAATAAAATCAATTATTTAACTGTGTCTCTAATAAAGGTATTTCAAACATGCCTATATTTCATAAGTAAACCTTTTATAACATGTTCTCCCTTGTCTTTGGTCCACTTAGTATGTGGATAAATGACGTTATGAGCTAGTAAGCTGCCTGTAGGTGAAATTAAGGCTACTTTACAGCCGTTAGTATAACCAGGGTCTATTGCTAGGATAGATTTTCCCTTCAAGGGTTGTGTCAATAAAAGATTTTTTAAATTGTCGCTAAATATTTTACACGATTCCTTTTCAGCTTTCTGTTTTAATTCTGACCGAATTTCCCTTGATATTAAATTGACAACTGCAAGAAATGTATCCTATAATGTGTTTTATATTATTGGGTAAAATATGTTATCTTACTCAGTCTATTATACGCGTCGGTTACAGCTAACTCTAAAAGTCTTGTTCTCAGTGGGTCAGAAGATTTTGTAAGCCATTTATTTTTACAAAACCCATAGTATTTGTTCCAAAAAAACTGTGGAATATCAACTTTAACGCTGAGATGTTTAAGGGATTCCCCTCTATTAATAGCTAAAATCTATAGAAACAAATGTATAAAATCGTTGATATTCAAATCAGTAAAAGTTCGCGTGCCGTTTTTTGCCGTTCAACTGCGTCAGAGAGGTAAAAATTGATATTGTTGCTTAAGTTTTGGGAATATTATTGAAAATATATATATGGGTGCGTCTCAAAAGTGACTCACCCCTATAACTTTATTTTTTTAGGTAAAAAAAACTAGATTTTGTATGTTAGTATATGACATACATTAGGATTAATTGACGTATTAAATTGTTTTTGATCACTTCCTGTTTCACCGGAAATGACTACAACTTTTGATTTTTAAATGACACCCTTGGCATATTTCTGCTTTATTGGATAGAAAATGGCACTCTGAAAAAATGATACAAGAAGACTAATGTTAACATATTTTAACTTTACATTTTTCAGCTTTCATTCTGAAAACTTGCCAATAACTTTATTTAATTAAAATTTGTTTGTGTAATAAACAGAAAAAGTAATATTGTAGATATAAAAAAAATCTGTACATGTATTGTGTCTAAAATTGACGTGAAAAATCGGTGACAAGATTACAAATTTTATTTGACACTTGTCAAAAATCAAAGTAAAAAAAGTAGCCGTGGCAACATTGGGACGTGCATTTGTCAAATATTTTGATGATGTTATCACCAAATTTTATTGATTTTACTATACTATATATTTACCTGATGGGATTTAAGATAACTAACAGGCTGGGAAAAATCAAAATAATTTTCAAATTTCATCTCATTATTTGCAGCCTTTTTTTCTACGTCAGTATTTTTTGCTTTCGTCGTCGTCTTTGTCTGTCTGGCTTTTTTACTTTCTAATTTAAAAGTAGTAGTGCGCCTTAAGTCTCTTAAAAACTGCAGTAATTCTGCATCTGTTGAAATTTCCGAAGCTATAATATAAATTATATTTTTCTCAACTTCCCCTAAGGTTCTCAAATCTTTACTATCAGACTTAATATAGTCTGATATGTTAACTATTTTCGTTCCATTCAGTAATTGTAATGCAGGAAGCTCCAAACCAAGCTGTTTGGCTTTTTCAGCCAAAGATTTCTTCGATCCGACTGATTTAAAAGGTGAAAACTAAAATATATAAGTAAAATAATTCATTTCACCTTCAGAAGTAATTAATTTACTTACAATATGCTCTAACTCTTCTGAAGTTTTTACTGTGCAAATATTTCTTTGTAATCTTTCGTCCAACTTGCCTAACTTTGCCACAGAACTCACTACAGTACTAATTCTCTTTTTCAGAGCACATATATCATCATATTCCTCTTTAACTGTTCTTAATTCCTCGGGAGGCATGTTTCCAATAACATTTTTCCTATATCTAATAGAAGAATGTCTCTATTTATAAAAATGGCATGCAAATTGACCCTGACACAATTCGTGCCAATTCTGATGTAAAATGACCTTCTAAATCCAAATATGATCTTTATTTTCACCCATCACTACCCGTTTTGGGAAAGAATCAGCATGAATGGTGCCAGAGCTTGAGAAAAAATATTGCAGACCAGCGAAATTGATGCTGATCTTCTTAGGCTACAAACTCAGCTAAAATAGCTTGGCCTACCTGGCAATAAATGGTATAGTGTTACCATCATTTAATAAATTAACTAAGTTAAAGGCTATGTAATTTTCAATTCCGGATCTTTCGGCAAGTAGTTCATGATCTGTCCAAGCAGGATTGATTTTCATGTCACCAATATCTAACTTTGTTTCTGATATATCTTGACCATTCTCTTCTGGGATATTGTTTATAGATTCTGCTTTAACTGCTACCTTCTTTGCTTTTTGTGCAACTGTCCTAGTTTTTTTTACTGCCTGAGTAGGTTTTATTGCCTCTAATTTTCTTTTCTAAAATCATCTTTATTAAATTTCTCTAGAGAGTATTGATCAATAGGAACCAATACCTTAGTTTTAACTGGAGGTTTTTCTTCAATATAATCCTCATCGCTTGTTATCTCAGCTGCATTATCTAAATTCTTCAGAAAATATTATATTAAATGTGTTTGAAAACAAATCTGTTATAGATAAATGACTCTTACTTAGAAATGATTTTCACTAATAAAAGTAAACAAATACTATGATTGTAGTTGTGTTTACAATGATAGAAAAAATATAGGACATAATTATAGTGAATACAATAAAATTCCACAGTAAAACAGATTATACCTTTGATTTCTTTACTTTTCTCTTTTTTGGCTGTGGTTTTTCGTCATCTTCGTCACTAGTCAGTAATGAAATTTCACCAAGCATTTTTGTTTGTGCTGCCTTCCTCTAGAACAAATTTATTGGTTCTTACTTAGTCTTTCATTTATAATTAAAACTCTATAATTACCTTGGATTTCCGCACTTTTCTAAACACTATCTTTTCATCGTCAGAATCTGAAGTTAGAAAACTTTCATTTTTGATCTAAAACACCCAGTTATTTTACAGCATTTATTTAAATCTTATGTAGATATGGAGCTTAAGTGAAGGATACAAAATATCATAAGGAAAGTGTATGTACCTGTTTATCACGACCCTTTGCTTCGTCTGAAAAATTACTTTCATCGCTGCTGATAATTATATCTTGATTCATTTTATTATTAGTAAGTATGAGCTCCTTTTTGAGCCCTAAGAATTTTTTAGGGCGTCCGTTCGTCCTTCTTTCTCTGCTTTTTTCTTTGAATAAAAAGGCTTTTTTAAAATAATTTTTTAGGTTATGATCGTTCTGATTTTAGGTTAGAAACCACAGAACCAATTATTGAACATAGCAGTCATAACAGACAAGCCAGTGAAAAAATAATAAAAAACACAAATATTAGAATAAAAGCATAAAACTTTTAGAGAATAATAAAGACACAAAACGCAAAGCAATGATATTCCCTTTGTATTTTGTTAGAAACGAAAGAGGAATGGTCAACCCTAAATTGTAATTATATATGATATGATATATGATCCTGATTTCTCTGCATCTATGGTGTAAATCATATGTAAATCTGACAGTGTCTTCATCTCTATCTGTGGTCAGTGTCAAGTTGGTTTGATTTATTTTTAACAATACTTTACAAAAATTGTTTTTTAGTCAGATTATGGGTACGATTTTATGAAAATTATAACACAACATAGGCTTGAAAAGTAATTGCTTCTATTTCAGCTGCTGAGAATCTATGATAATTCCTTTCAATATCTAATTTTAGTATAGAAAATTTTTGTTTACCCCTATCCCCTATTCTAACATTTGTGTACTGTTTATTTTCACACATTCTACATTTCTACATTTTTGTCACTTTTTATTTTCTTATAAAGAATGTCTAATTTTATGAGGCGTTTTACTAGTAACTACAGATGATAATGACTATAGAAAATCACCATATTCATCAACACAGAAGAGCAATTTAATAGGTCCAAATATCAATTATCTTAGTAGATCACACACTAATGCCTATGGTAAATCATCCAATTCGTTAATACAAATGAAAAACAATTTAATAGAACCAAATACCCGTTATTCCAATAGATCAGATAGTACTGTCTATAATAGATCATCATATTCATCAACACAAATTACAGAATTTCACACTGATTGCTATGCTGGATCAAGCAGTAATGCCTATGGCACATTATTACATTCAACACAGATGAAGACCAAATTTACTGAATCAACTGGACTTGTAACTGGCATATCATCTCATTCATCCACACAGACAACAAGGAAGCAAAGAACAAACAGAAAGAGAGACAAAAAAGCCAAACGCAAGGAAAAATTAAGAGAGAAAAGAGAGCATAGTATACAACCAGAAAAAACAATGCCAATAATATCTAGAATCAAAATACCATTAGAGAAACGTAAGAAGCATGGGACTTTAATGAAAGACAGCAGATGTAACATATCTGTGTGCATAGATTTGAGCTGGGTACTAGGAATGGAAGTTAAGGTAAGGAACAAGTGGTATTATTTAAGTAAAAGATAAATTTTTAAGATAATTAAAATAAAGTTTATTATAAAATTCTTAAAATCTGAAATAAGTATATTTTCAATTATTCCAAAAATAATGAAATCTTTCTGTAAAATTATATACAATAAGATAAAACTTAAAAAAAATATTTTCTGGCAAAAAAATAAAGTACATTAATTCAAAATTCTTTATACAGTTGCTGGCAAGTGATTTTTAACATTTAATACTTTTTCCGCACTTTTCTGTCGAAACAAACTTATAGCTTTCCAAATTCTCAGTTCGTGAGCCCCTAATAATTTGATTTTTCTTATGTCGTCTCTCGTAATATCATATAAAACTTCGTCCAACGTGTAACCTTGACACAGCACCTTTTTTTGTGCATTCTCACTGATACCTAGACCACTTAACCAATGCGCTAGTCTAGAATCTTCCTCGATATCGTCATGAACATGCTCGCAATTTTGTAAGCTGACTGTAAGCAAGTCCAATTGTTGTTTTAGTATTTCTTGAAACTCTTTAACCACGATCTGTTTAAGTTCTTCTGTACAACTGTGGCACAATTTCGAATGGTCGCCTCTCTCGCTAACATCGAAAGTTTCAGTTGTTTTACTTGATTTCGTTGTGGTAACAGAACCATGTGTTGCAAGGTTTTCTCCCAATTCTGGTGAGAGAATTGTGATTGTAGCTTGGACTCCAGCTCGGACTAAATTGTCTAAAGCAAACATCCAGTGAGGTTTAATTTGATGATGTCTGAGTACTTCATTTACCGAGTCTTGGTACAAATAGATCGCAAACTGGAGTTGATGTATTGCGGCACTGTCATAATCCAGTTCCTCTTTAACTTGTTTAATAGTCTTCTCCAATACATTCATTGGAGATTCAATTAAATGCGCTTTTAAACCGTCTAGTAAAGTGCGTAGATGTTCCGGCGTTAAAACGGTTTGGCCTAAGTACTCATCTCGAATTTTTTGCATCCATAACTCGCAAATTCTAGGACCGTCATTTTCTAATACTTTGGCCAAAGTCGTCCTTCTTTGTGAGTCCTTTTTGAGTAAGTAAAATCCATCTGACTCCGTCCCTATATCCGCTTCCGGTGACAGTGGCGTTCCTGATGAATTCCGTCGTTCTACAATGTCCGTTCCAGATTCACTACAATCTAGCGAAGGCGTATAAGGTATGTCCGAATCTGGCGTAGTTGGTGTTTGACTGGATTGACCGGAACAAATAGTTACCTTCTTGGGGCCCACTGGTGCAGACACGCTTCTGTTATACTCTATATTTACACGTACCGATTTCTTACGATCGGTACCTAGAAATGGATCTTCTAAAAGGTCTGTAGCGGTGGCCCTGTTATCCGGACTAGATTCGAAACATCTTAAAATAAAGGTTTTTGCCTTTTCCGACAATTCCGGGATTTCAGGATGGGCTTTGTGATATCCCACCTTGAAAAGAGCTGCCTGTGGAGATCCCAATTCTATAAACGGGGGTTTCCCTGTTGCCATTTCTACTACAGTGCAACCCAAAGACCAAATGTCAGCGGGAGCACCGTATCCCCTCTGGCCTCTGTCTATTACTTCTGGAGCCATATATTGAAGGGTACCGGTAAACGTTTGGGCACTAGGGCATAATCCAATTAGTCTCTTTGACGTTCCGAAATCCGATATTTTAACTACGCCACTGTACGTATTCACTAACACGTTATCTCCTTTTATATCTCTATGTACAATTCTGTGACTATGAAGGTACTTGAGACCCTCTAAAATTTGTTTGGTGTATGACGCCATAGCTGGTTCATTCTTTTGAAGCGATCCCCATTTCGATATTAACAGAGCGCTTAAGGATCCTCCTGGAACTTGTTCCATAAAAATCTTAAAAAATCCATCTTCTGACAATGAACCTAGATACTGCACGATATTTCTATGTCTCAGTTGAGAATGGACTCTTATTTCTTCGTGTAAAGGTTGTACAGCTCCAAGGTTCTTTTCAGGTACTTCTTTAACCGCTATTTTTACTTGCTTTGTTTTATCTAGAGCTGCGTATACTACTCCATACGTGCCTTTTCCTAGAATTCGTTTTCTACCCTGTTCGTCACAATCATATTCGTATTTAATCTCTTGAGGACGCTCAGGTTCCAAAACCCGTTCTTCATAGTTTGATAAATTTTTTAGAAGTTCATAAAATACGCCTCTGCATGCCTCGGAAGGAAAAAATATTTGAAAGCAGTCAGATATGGCAGAAACATATAGAAAAAGCGATCGATCATCTTGAGTGTTTAGGCTAAAACTACGAATATCATCTGCAACAAATTCCCAGTTGTGTATCTCAGTACAGTGCCCTTTTAATCGTTTTAAACATTCGTTGGTGACTTGTAGTGTCTCGGGTTCGGCTCCCAAATTGATCCATACGTGGCTAGGTAGATATTCTTTGCTGGGCTCGAAAATTAGTACGGGAAATCGACCGCCCGAAGGCACTTCTTGTGCTGAAATCGTCGCTTGATTAAAAAAGTCCATCCAGAAATAAAAAATCTGTTCTTCCGCCGTAAAATCATCATCCCTTTTTTTACGAAACCGGTCAATTAACTGAATATTTCCTATAGTAGATTTCAAGTACCAATCGGGAGGCTTAAGTCTAAACATATTTTCAGCTGCCTGTATCGCATTGGAATAGTTTTGTGCCAGAACTGAAATCTCAAAAAACGTGGCCACGTCCCAATAATCTTTTAGAGATGACAGACTGCCTTTCTTGCCAATTAAACTGTTTAACGTAATAGCGATATGCTGTAAATCATTAGATTTGCCTAATTCTTCACCATTTATTACAAGCAAAGTTGCTAAGTTTATGCCAGCATATTCGTTGGGCTGCACTTCAAATCCTTTCTTGTACCAATGAATAGCTTGATTCAAACTCTCCTTATCGGTATAATTTGACTCAGTAAATTTATCTTTATATATCCTTCCACACAAACACAACATATCGGGAAAATTATTTTCTCGTGTAGCCAGAGCCTTGATACAAACTTTCAAAGCTTTTTCTCTATCACCATCATGTTTTCTTCTATTTAAAGCAAAAGCGTATAAAAATATAATATACGAATTTAGATATTTCTGAGCAGCTGGCACTGTCTTTAAATCCTCCACAAGATGTATCATTGATTCATAACCCTGAATATCTCGGAAACTTAATAATATATTTAATACAACATCTCCCGACAGGATATTAGGATCATCTAATCTCTTGACGATTTTCTGTAGAGCTTCTAGCTTCTCGGGACCCGATGCCTGTTCATTAATCTTCTTAAGATCGACTAAAAATTTCTCCTTCATGTGGGCCTTGCTTTGAATCTCAACTTCCTGAAGAAGTTTTTTAAGCCTTAGAGATAAAACTTCTTGTTCTTCGCTTCTTTCGCTAGGTGTTACTATCATACCAGAAGCTTCACAAAGCTTATATGATAGAAAAGTGTAGTTGGAACATGATAATTTAAGTTTTACTGTTACTTCAGTGTTAATATCATTATACAGAAGAATATTTTGCTTCATATTAAAGCTTTCTCTCACACCTAGATGATATATCAGACTTGTTTGTTGAATAGACAGGGATAAGTCGATAATAACGACGTCGGCATTGTAGAAAGTGCTTACTACGTTAGTCTCGCCAAAGTCCAATTTTTCGAACTGTATATGACTCAAACCGGCACCTATTTGTGCGCAAGCTAACTTAACTTCGTCAAGAGCCCTTTTTCTACTAGCTAAATTCTCGTTTTGGTAAATATCTATGACACATACCACTTCCATACGAGGTTTCGCTATGTTGGTGTTGTTGGTTTGCATTGTGAGCGTAGAAACGTCAGAGTGCGAACCAATACTATCAGTAGTACTGCGGCACTCTGAGTCTATTTCCGGCATTGTGCTAATTTGAGTTATACTGGGATGAAAAAAATAGAATTATTGTTGAGACTTTGTAGCTTGGTAGGTAAGTATATATGGGCAGATATTATAGACTATTATGTCCCCCCTGGCAAGTTTAGGTGAGTCCCATATTCCGATTGTAATCAATTGCCAATAGATAACCTGAAATAAAGTATCTATAAACCCCACAATATAAATATTTTCCATAAGGGTAGGGTCTCCATACATCAAAACGTAAATCAACTTAACTTTAAAACTAAAAGAGTTTCAAACAAAAATCATTGTCTACCACATTCGAAGCAACTTAACTTTGTTGAATATTTTAATCGTTACAATGTTACATAGGTATCTACTATACTGACATTGTTCGAATGTAGCCATATCTATTTGGTCAATTTTTTCGTTTTCAGTACACTCATAGATGTAAATTCTGAATCCTTTGTCTTTATTTTGTTATGATTATGTGCCCTTTATTAATATAGGTATATTTGGGTATATCCAACAATCCATGACAACGGTGCCTGTCATGTTACTTCACAAGTAAATTGTATTTTTTGTCAATATCATCTGTCGAATGAGAATGTGATCTGTCAAAATCTTCCTCACTCGTTGGACAACTTTTAGCTCACGTTAATTGCGAATTGTATATGCACAAGGGAAATTTGTTTGAAAGTATCGGCAAAAGGGTATACTTAAACTTTTTTAACTACCTATTTAGTTTTCTCTTTAAAGTCTGTCCGTTTGTGCACCGAGTCCGGGAAGGAATATTGTCTGAAGACATCCAAACAATGACAGAAATAGAATTCATCTAGGAATTAAAATGACAGACAACTCTAACTATCAGGGATTCTCTCGTTAGACAAACTTTACACAAATAAATTCACAATTTATTTTTCGAGTCCCAATTTTGGCCGTACTTCAAAGCTTGTTGTCCGGCATTTCAAAAAACTTGTATGGAAACCCTACTTAAAGGTCATAAGCTGTTTTTAAACAATATTATTTCTTACCAATTCAGTAACATTTGGGTTCTGCTTTGTCACAACATATATTTTACTAATAATTGCACTTGTAATTTACTGTAGGAATGTTTTTAAACGATTACATTAAGTTTGATCACTAAAAAACTGATTTAAAACAAAATAAAATATAAATAATATAGTAAATAAATCTCCCTGAACCTCACTTTAAAAAATTATTGTGCCATGTTGCCAACTTTTTTTTATTGTGCTACAAATATTTAAATCATTAAAATAGCATTTTTTATTGACCTGTTAGTGTCGAAGGGATATTTTAGTCTTTATTTTATTAGCTACAGTATGATATAACCATTAACTAAAAATATTGGTATAAAAAATACATATTTATTTTTTTACGCATAGGTGAATGTCTGGTTGCATAAGTAATTTTGAAAATTTTCAAAAATATGCTTAATTACTGTAGTTAAGCTATAATAATTTTAATTTATGAAATAAATAATTTATTCGGGAGTCCTAAGTATTAAAACAAACAGTAATATGTTGTAGTTTATTTATTTTACTATACCCACAAAATATTGACGCTCTCCAAATAGTTTATTTAAGAATTTAAAATATAGGAGTTGATGAAGGGGCATTTATTCTGGTACTATTTTCGTATTTTTAGGATCTGAATATCAGTCTTAAAGAAATTAGAAAGACTTATATGTTAAATAGACATGCTAAGGCCCCTTTACAGATGCACTTAACAGGATACGGTGGTCCAACTAAAGACTTACTGATAAAACGTGGTGTACCCTTAAGGTGGGACCTACATTTTCACGAAGATCATTTTTTAGACCTCTTCGATAAGGATAAATTTGTATATTTGACCAGCGAGAGTGAGAACGAAATTGAAAGTCTGGAGGAAGACAAAGTATACGTTACTAGTGCTTGGGGAAAAAACTCCCATGAAGTAAATATAGAGTATTCAGTAGATGAGTTGATGCATACTTTTTAAACTATGTAATTTTTAGTGGGATAATTATACGAGAGCTATAAATGAAGATATAGCACATGCCCGATTTCCAGTCGAGAAATATTTTAACAATAGATATAAAAATGACAAAAAAATCTTGATTTTGTCGCAAGGTAATTAAATGAGTATAAAATTTAACACAAGATTCTTATTAACGAACGACTATTTTTAGTGTGCGATATAATTCTAAGACTAAGTCAAGGAAAATCATTTAAGGAAGCCGTAGGAGTAGTTTTTAGACAGAAACCAGGCATTTTAGATATGGAGGCGTATCAAGAATATATACGCAATCCTGAACCGACTTAACTATTATTTTTTATGTTAAATATACTTAGGAATTAAGTAAAGTCTGTCCAGTGAGAGGAGCAACGATTTTGACAGATGACATCCAATAATTGACAGAAAAAAGAAATTACTTTGAATGAAAATGTCAGACAACTGTTATGATTTATAAAAATAATAGAAAATATATTTTTTCTCGTTTTTTGTCTAATAAAAATTGTAAAATGGTATGCTACAGATGATGCTAATAAAGTAAAGCTTGTTTCATGTAGACGCGAATTGCGAATTGCGGAATGCGATTCGCCAAAAAATCCTTTCATACAGTCGCGAATTTTTAGGGACATTTCATTTTTGCTCTACTGAAAGTTATCAAAAAAATCATAACCTGAGATAACTTAATTTGTTTTTTATTCGGGTTTACGACCTTTATTTTATATTTTATAGCGTACAATATGAGTTTAAATTTGTTTAATGATTATGAATATTGATTACGATTGTGGGATTGGAATAGAAGGAGCAAAATTGCCATTTACTTATTGTTAAAACGTAGAAGAGAACGGGTTTATATTATAGGTCATTTGGGACATGTGAAATATTTAAATTTCGTAAGCAACAAGGGTGCTTATCGCAATTTAATTCAAGAAATGAGGACAAAAGATGAGAAAAAATTTAGGAATTTTCAGATGGTCTGTACAGGAGTTTGATAACTTGGTTGAAAAATTGTCACATGATTGTCACCATGTATATCAAAAACATATCATAAACATATGCGCGAGAACCCATTTCACCTGGAGAAATGCTTTCAGTTACTTTGTACTTTGTCAGCGTCGTCAAAATAATCGATAATCACCATTCTGCGCAAAGGCAAACCTTAAAATCGCACGAATATTCACAAAAAGTTGAAAACACTTTAACTTTCCCGCCCCCCAAATTTTAAATCTTGCGAATCGCCAAAATCTTAAAATTTCTGACAGCATGTCATGATCATTAAAATTGGACCAATGAGAGCAGTTTCGCAAAATCGCGATTCGCGTCTACACGAACAAGGCTTAACGGGTTTTCTTCAAAAGAAGAATTTTGTTTTATTAAATTGATTTTCTCCAAGATATATACACAACTGGTATATATACAAAATAGTATTGTATGGATAGTATTACGTCATCTGGAAGGCACATTTTCCAGCTTTATCTCTTGGTAATGTCAAAATTTATAACAGCATGACAATCACAGAATATAGTCTGTCCAACGAGTTAGGGAAGATTTCGACAGACTACATCCAAAAAATGACAGAATACAGTTTACCTGTTAACTAAAATGACAAACACGAATGTCACTGTCGTGTACCCTCTCGTTAGACAGACTATATCTTAGTTATACAGAAGTGACAGTAAGCCTCTTTGCAGTACGTGTTACAAGTTTGTTCACCTTGATGTCACATTTTATTTTCACAATTTAACTGAGTTGTACACTGACAAAAATGTCTAGAATTTTATTGCAAGATTTTTTTCTCCATATAGCTGTTATTTATTGTCACATTTATAGCTAAAAAAATAAAAACAGAAATAAATGACATACATTTCTCTTTCTAACCTACAGTATGTCGTCGGATTGTCTAAAGAGGAAAAACTTTTTTATTACTGGCATTTTGAGAAAAATGCATTCTTCATAAAAATGTTGGCTTGTTCTAAGATGGTTAGACCCGTTTACACATTTCCAAATTTCCATACCGTTTTAGAGAAAATTAGAAAAAACATGAAAATATGGTAGAAGCCCTAAAAATAAAAAAGACGTTTTATGGTAATATAATTTCGATTTCATTCTTTGATAGATGGTTATTATTAATTTTGATTAACGTCATTTTTTTGCTAGCCATTATCACCCTTTCCGTAGCGTTGAACTAAATAAATTTTGTGCTTCTTTAACATTTTAAAACAGCAAAAAATATGACGTTGGTTAGGTTAGAATTACATTACCATAGAAACGCGTTTTGATATTTGGGAATTTCTTTTTTTTTTGGGAAGAAAAATTCAATCATATTTTCATGTTTTTTTTTCTAATTTTCTCTAAAACGGTATGGAAATTTGGAAAAATATAAACGGGATTAACCATCTTAGAACAAGCAAAATTATTTATGAAGAATGTATTTTTCTCAAAATGTCAATAATAAAAAAATGTTTCCTCTTGTAAAGACAATCCGGGGACATACTGTATACTTTCGGCATAAATTTTGATTTCTAAACGAAATAAAAAAAAATAATATCAATAGAGAATAAAAATAAAATATATGGAAACAAATTAAATTGGATCATTGACAGAAAAAAGTATTTTTAATGGAGCTTGACTATTTTGAAGGAGTAGTTTATTTTTTACATGTAAAAAACTATTTTTACACGTAAACAACTAATTTTTACGTGTAAAAACTAGGTCAATCCTGATATTAATCCAGCAACTAATCAAAATTTGACAACCGGTGACTAAAAATATAACAATTTACACAATAAAAACAAAAAAAATTTGGGTGTTATCTAAATATTTAATACGTAACTAACAACGATTACAAAATATTTTGTAAATAAAACTAGCAAATCGACGGCTACAACTATCAGATCAGTAAAAATATATCTCTTAAAAAATATTAGTGTATTAATAAGTCTTCTTTTTAAGACACTATAATTAATTAGGCACATTGACTACATTTTTTAGACACTTCACGTCATCAACTTAAAATTAGTCATATTCGATTTTTTTTAAAAATATATCTTTAACTATACCTAGATCATTTTTATAATTCATCAATTGCATAGACAATTTTAATCGCCAAAAATGAACAGGTTACAGATTCAGTTTAAGTAAATACTAAATCTCGTACGACCGAAAAAAAAACAGCGTCATAATTGGCCTAGAAAATGACGATCGATGTCATCAAGCCACTTGACGTCATTTTTTTTCGATCATACGGTATTTTATCCTTAATTCATCTTATCCTTAACATCTAAGGCTAGACCCACACAGAAAAAACAAAACTGTTTTAGTAAAAAACGTTTTTCTCTTTTATAAAAACATTATGTTTCGAAGAGAAGCAAAATGATTTATTTACAGTTAGTATACACGGCAGCAGATATGGAACGCACGGTGACTAAAAATGTTTTATCATAAAACAACGATCCAGAGCTCGATGTCGAGCCTGTCTGTGACTAAACGAGCTTAAACGAGTCTTAAAGCTCGCGACTCTATGGGGTGCGTTAGCCCATTTAATCTGCGTTGAAGCATCTGTTTTGCTTTTTCTGTGTGCATCCAGGCTAAATAAGTACAGTGTGGTTGAATAAAACTAACGTCACATAAGCACAGAAATAACGTATTGCAGTTAACTGAACCAGTGGCAGCTCCTAGTTAAAAAAATTGTGTTTTTGTCCCCTATGTTCTTCTGTGTCATATCTTTTTCTTAGTGCTTACTATGACGGCGTTTTTATTCGATCACAATGTAATTATATATGGCAATAAGCACTATTATGTTTAATTATTCGAAAGAAAATTAGTGCTGTTTTTTTTAATTTTGTTATAAAGTATAAATAAGAACAATTTACAAAAAACACAAAAGATATTAATTTAAGTATTAAGGGTAGTAAAAAGAGATTCGAGGTTAAAATGTCAAAATTTATATAAATAAATAAAATTTTATGAAATTAATGATGAAATATACGAATATCAATGAACGAATATTTACTAGATGGTTAAAATGCGTTTCTTTTTTCAAAACGATTGCATTTTTTTCTTGTTAAGATTCTTCTCTCTTCCTTTTTATACTTATCTTAATGTTTATTTTAACCTTTGCCTGCATAGGTTGGATTCTTAAAGGTCGATGTGGCTTGCTTATAAATTGGATTCTCACCCTAGAAAAAATAACCAGTAAATCAATAACCAAAAAATATAAGCCGCCATGTTTTTGGTGCCAAACAAGGGAGGTGACACCAGGGACGATTTAAGTGATTTTTAATAGTTTGTTATGTGTAATAAGTGTTAATAATTTTTTTAATGTAATGTTGTTTAACAATATTTAATGATTATACCAAATGATTCAATTCTCACAATTAGCTTTACAGAGTTTGCAAATGAAATATAATAAACCTTAAATATAATTTTGTAGTAAAATTTCATGTTTTTTGGTTTCAATTTCACCAAACGCAAAGAAATAATTGATAAAACCGCAGTTAAAACTTCCAGTGTATACGCTAGTCTTTAATCCGTTTTAACTTACAGGTAAAACTTATTGTGTAGACTAGGCTTTACACAGCTGTAGTCAAAATATTTATGAAAACAGGTGTTAATATGTTAGATTAAGTAAACATAAAATATTTGTAAAACGTAAAAATTAATATACAGGGACTGTTCAAAATATTCTAAAATATTGACAGATCGTAAAAATTCACGGTAACATTTTTTTACTTACAGTATCCCACTTAGCCATCATTCTTTCTTTCTCAAATCTAGCAAATTCCCTCCTGTCGTGTATGGTGGTAAGCAATTTCCAGAGAAGTAATATGGCCATTCCGATCAGAACAATGGCAGCTATGACACCAAAAACTATGCCCAATACGAATACCTAAGAAAAAAAAGGTTAATTTCTATTTTTACAGGTTTATATTTAATTTGATGCTTTTTTTAATTACCTCTGGAGGACATGTTCTCTCTTCTTGTGCTCTAATGTGCAATTTTCTTTCGATGTCGTAGTAATAAACGTATGTGAATTGGCAGTGATCTTCGTCAGTATAATGGCACAAATATTCGTTATTTTCTTCGATAGCTGCAACAATAAAAGTTTTTAATATTCGCTAATTTTAAACTAATTTTTTTATTAATTCGATACATTATGGAATATATTTCATTGAGTTTTTATTTTATCTTTGTTTAACTGAACATTGAGCGGGACGTCCGTTCGGTTAAAACCGTGCAAAATAACCGAAGTGTATGGGGACTTTTAACTCTTGTTTTAGAATGAAATAAAACAGAGAAATGCCATCTCATACTCGCAGAAACAATAGTATATTGTTATATTAGAACTAAAAATGACTTTTTTTTCTGTAAGTAATTATATACCGAGAAACTATGGTTACACTCGTTGAATTTGACACTTTGTGTTAGTTTAATAATATATTTACGTACTTTTGTGCTTAAACGTAAAAGTGCTTTACTTTTATGCCTAGGCGTTAAAATGGCTTTTTTATACGGTCAGTCATGTTAAAAAATAATACTTTTGTGACGTTTGAAAAAAAGGTATTATCGATAGACCCTAGTATACATTCTGGTATTTATTTAATATGACGTATACAAATAAGGCGTCGTGGCAGCCATAGGTATGTGGCATTTAATCTGCAGGAAACAAGATAAAATGCACAAAGGTAATTAAATGTATAACGCGGCCGAATAACAATTTTATTTGTTGTTTCTTAGAATGGGGTTTAATGAATTTTTTTCTTATTTGCTTTGAGATAACGTATCGTATTTTTTTGCTAATACTTTTTTGTTTTATTGTGGAGTTATAAATATTTGCTAAAATCGATGGTAATTGAGATTTTTGAAATTTATTTCATTCTAGTAGGTATTTATAACATTTATTATTATCATAATAGACGGTTTCATAAATGCCAAGCAAATATTTGGGAGAATTTCAATTATTTTTCTAGCATATCACTAAACCTTTTTTGACTTATACAACATTCCAGTTAGATATAAAATTGTACAGGGTCTCCCATTTTCGCGTGTTTTACAGGGTTTCTCGTTTATGAGTAAAGCTACAAAGAGATGCGGTTCTCGCGTTACCATGCTACTTTTTTATGAAACTAAAGATGCTACACACAGATTTGTCCTAGCATTGTTAGTTTATTAAACACAGGACGAATTTGAAATTGTTGTAGTTTTCGACGCCCCTCTTATCTTGGTTATCTTATAAGTTATCGAAAAGGTGAAAACATTTTTTACCCCCTTCGTATCTCGATTATTATATAATATAGAAAAGGTGAAAACTGAGTTCTGTGGAGCTTTTCACGTGGAATCCAGTGGCGTAACTAGTTTTCC